GAGATGCAATGAGATGCAGAGACCCTAGAAGGGACCATGCAACAAGTGAGAGACACAGGTTACTTAAAAGATTTGACTCCTAATATTTATTTCCTACAGTGACACTCTTTGTTCCCCGGTTTTGACTAGAGTGAGCAAATTTCTATTCCTTACAACTGAATGTGCTTGACTAAAGGGTTCTCCAGTTCTAACTGAACTGATATGATACCACTTTGAGTGTCTTTGCTTTCATTAAAACATTAAACTAGTTGTATATAAATCAGTTATAATTTAATTAGCTTTAACATAGAAGTTTCCAGTTGGCTCTCTACTCCAGGAAAGCAGGTAGTCATTAAAAGAGATGAGACCCTTAACTCTGATCAAACATACATTTTTCCTGTGACTGAAGCAGGGTGAATTTCTGAACTAGTCTTATAAAGGATGATCATGAAAATTCCTTGCATTTTACCCTTAAATTCAAATAATGAAAATTCATATCCAATCATAAGGACATAAATAGTAAGATTTGTTTAGATTAATACTAAATAGGGGTTAAGAAAGTATCTCAAGGGCCTCCCCCAGTGGCGCAGTGGTTGAGCGCTGGGCTGAGAAGCTGCCTGCAGCCTTTGCAGCACGGGTTGGATCCCCGGCCACCAGCAAGGGTCCCACATGGTGCGCAGACCTCTTCTGCCGCCCGCTGCTCCCCTCAGCAGTGTATTTCATCAGGTTGCCTGTTCTGCTCCCCGCTCTGACTCTGGTGAATTCTCTCACCCTCCCGGGCTTCTGACTGTACCCAGTGCTTGTATAAATAAATAAATCTTTAAAAAGAAAAAAAGCATCTCAAAAAATATATACACATATTGCTAAGTTTTACTTGGTTCAGAAGTCTTGAAGTCATGTAAACATATATTACTAGTTTTTGGGTTCACTATACTTACATTTATTTAATATGCCAATCCTTAGTTAGCTCTTGCAAAGTTAATTTACAATAAATTACTTAATGATTTTTAAAAGACAATACTGTGTAGAAGTTATGATAGCATGTGTTACGTATCAGGAACTAGATTTACTTAAAAATCACATTTTATTTCTCAATAACCTCATGGAGTAAACATTATTCACATTATACTTTGTTACTTATGAAGTCTATGAAATAGCATTATAACTGGATAGATATAGCACTTGTTTGAGTCTGTTCTCATTCCTATAAGACATTTTCTTTATTGGATTGACAAAAAACTGTTCCTTCCATCAAGAGTTCTAGTCACAACTTTTCAGGTAAGCAAAAATTATTACTTCTGTTTCCTTACCAAGGACACAACCAAGAGAGAAAGTCAATTAGTAAATGGTCTGCTAAAATTTTCTTCAGTCATTCATTACCAGCCTTAAAGCTTCTGCATACAGTCCCACACATGGAACAACAGTGTGTGGCGCCCACTGTGAAACAAGCATTAAATGGTGGTAACTATTTTTTTTAAAAACAACCATTTAAATTCTCCAAAACTTGGGGCCTCCCCGGTGGCGCTGCAGTTGAGCGCTGGGTTGCGAAGCTGCCCGCAGCCTCCGCAGCGCCGGTTCGATCCCTGGCTGCTCCCCGGCCACCAGAGGAGGGGCCCACATAGCGCGCAGACCTTTCCTGCCGCCCGCTGCTGCCCTCAGCAGTGTACTTCTGTCCTTCTGCCTGCTCTGCTCCCTGCTCTGGCTCTGGTGAATTCTCTTACCCTCCCGCGCTTCTGACTGTACCCAGTGCTTATATAAATAAATAAAATAAATACTTAAAAAAAATAACACTAATAGAATGTTTAAGATAAAATTAAATAAATAAATTCTCCAAAAATTGACCAAAAGTCATATAGCAAACGAATATTTACTCAAAGCATCTACTAAAACTCAGTAAGAACAGCCAGTCTGTAGCATTTGAAATCATATGGCATTTGAACCACTACCAACTCCCTCCATCTGCCCTCCTCACTCAACATGATGGAGACTCCAGTCCATGTGGGCACAGCCAAGAACACATGGCTACCTCCCCCAAGCCCCCTACCCCTCACCCCCTACCCCTCACCTCCCAGTAAAGGACTACACTATCTTGCTGAGAGAGGCAGACCACCAGATTCTCTCATCTCCAGACACATGTTGCAGAGGTTAAGTTATCAGTAGGTCAAGAGATAAGGGGCTACCTTCTTTAACTCAGCTTGCCACTTTAGGCATGATACAGTGAGAATAGTGGGCCCTGAGAATGCTCACCCCAGCTAATTTGCAGGGCAAAACTTCCAAATCAGGAGAGACAGATTAGGAAGACTAGAGGCTGACATCTTTACCCAGTAGCCTACTTTTAGAGGGACATATGGCTGGGTTTCCACCCTGGGCTTGAACTGTGGCTCAGTGATTTCTGCCTAGAGAGAGATCCAGGATGTAAGGTAGAGTTACGAAGTTATCTCCAAAGCAACTGACTACTTGAAATAGATGTAGGACTCAAGTCTATGGATTCTCAAAAACAACATAGATTTTGATTGAGCTTCTTTTTTTTTTAAGATTTATTTATTTATCTATTTATTTATGAATTTATTTATACAAGCACTGGGTACAGTCAGAAGTGCGGGAGGGTGAGAGAATTCACCAGAGCCAGAGCGGGGAGCAGAGCAGGCAGAAGGACCGAAGTACACTGCTGAGGGGAGCAGCGGGCGGCAGGAGAGGTCTGCGCGCCATGTGGGACCCTCCTCTGGTGGCCGGGGAGCAGCCGGGGATCGAACCGGTGCTACAGAGGCTGCGAGCAGCTTCGCAACCCAGCGCTTAACCGCTGAGCCACCAGGGGAGGCCCACAACATAGATTTTTGATAGGAAGATTTAAGAGGAAGCTGGTATCTTCAAAGAGATAGAAGCAAAACCACAGGCCATTTAGTTTACCAGAAAGACAGAAAGAGACATATAGAGACATATCCTGGCATTAGAACAAATCACAAACACACCCTCCACACACACACACACACACACACACACACAAAAGCAATCCCTTCAAAGGAGCCAGGATTTAACTGGATTAGGTAGTAGGAATATTTGTGCCCCAGGGCATCTATTCTTAAAAATAGAGCAATCTGCTGATTAGTGGAAGCCTAACAACTGGACAGGATCAAGAAAGAGACAAGTACCCCTACCAAAACCACTATCATGGGGATGACTGTACATGCCAAAGGCAGTGATGTCTGAGAATCAACATCAGAGGAAACAGACACCACCGAAATAGTCCTGCTGGACACTACAGAAATAAATAAGCCAACTGTAATAACAAGCTACAGGGAAAGGGGATACTAATATCCAGAGTTGCTACAAACAATGAATATCAATAAAGATTATTCTTTTAAAAAAAGGAAATTTTCAAACTGAGCTGAAATTAAAAATACAACAGGCAAGCTCAATAGTAGTTTCGAACAAAAAAAAATAGTAGTTTCGAATAGATGAGCAAACTGGTAAGATTATACAATTCAAAAAACAGAAGAAAAATGAAAATTGAACAGAAACTCAGAGAAATGAGTCACCATTAAGCACACCAACATATAAGAGAATACCAGAAATGCCAATTTTGATTTTTAAAAATTCTTAATGTATACAACCAAGAAATGCAACAAATTCAAAGTAGAACTATGTACAAGGAAGGTGACCTCAAACACATCATAGTAGAAATGCTAAATCTAATGTGAATGTATTAAACAACACAATTAAGTAATTTTTGCTTCAAAAGACATGATCAAGAAAGTGGAGAAAACCCACTGAATGGAAGGAAATATTTCCAAATCATGTCTCTGATAAGGGACATATATCTAGAATATATAAAGACTTTTATTAGTCGATGATAAAGACAACATAATTTAAAAATCAGCAAAGAATCTGAATGACCATTACTCCAAAAATTATATACAAATGGCCAGTAAGCACACTCAAAAAATGTTCAACATCCACCATGATGGAAATGCAAATTAAAACCACAATGACATAGAACTTCACGTCTACAAGGATGGCTAGAATCAAGTAGGGATATAATAACAAGAGTTGGGGCCTCCCTGGTGGCGCGAGGGGTTAAGCACCGCACTATGAAGCAATCCACAGCCTGTGCAGCTCAAGTTTGATCCCCGGTTGACCAGGGAGAAACCCACGTGGTGAGGCAGACCTCTCCTATCTCGCCTGCTGCTCCCCTCAGCAGTGTATTTCAGTCAGTCTGCCTGTTCTGTTCCCCACTCTGTCTCTGGCAGATCCTCTCACGACCCGCATCTCTGGCTTGCACCCTGGCTCTTGTCTGCATAAATAAATAAATCTTTAAAAAATAAGAAGAGTTGGTGAAGATTTAGAGAAACTGAAAATCTCATAAATTGTTGCAACAATTTTAAGTAGTATAGCCAGTTTGAAAAATAATCTAGCAGTTTTTCAGTTACCACATGACCCAGAAATTCTACTTATATACCCAAGAAAAACAAAAACATATGTCCACACAAAAACTTGTATATAAATATTCTCAGCAGTATTACTTACAATACCAAAAAATGGAAACAACTCAAATGTCCATCAATTGACAAATGGCTAAATAAAATGTAGTTCAGCCATGTAATTTAATCCATAGTGTTATTTCGCAATAAAAAAAAGGATACCTGCAACTAGATGACTAATCTTGGAAAACGTTATGTTAAATGTAATAAACTTAATCACAAATCCACCTATTAGATGCTTCCATTTATGTGAAATGTCTAGAATAGGCAACTACAGAGACAGAATAGTATATTAGCTGGCATGGTCTACAGATGGAGTAATTAGGAATGATAGCCAAAGGAATGGGCTCTATTTGGGGCCATAAAATGTTCTTACATTGACTGTGGTGATAATTACATATTCTGTGAGCACACTAAAAACTGTCAGTTGTACACATTAAATGGGTGAACTGCATGGTGTATCAATTGTATCTTAATAAAGTTGTAACAAAAAAGTTCATATATAAATAAAAGACAACTTAAAATTCTAAAAAGAGTTTTATTGTGGAAACAAAGAGTGTATTAAAGCATGAAGTTGATAAAAGTACATTTAGTGTTACAAAATCTGAGGTAAACTAGTTTTTCACCCAACTCTTTTTAAAGGGTTTATAATTATTAAAACTACTTTTTATCCTTTTGCAAAGATTTAACCTTAATTACATGAGGAATACATTTAATCTAAATATACATTGTCATAGATATGATTTAGAAGTCAACATACATAAAAACAATTGTAATCATCTCTGCTAAACAGCTACGTGAAGTGAATAATATAAAATATGAGTTGTTTATGAGATATTCCAAGCTATAAGCTTGGAATTCAAGTCTCATTCTGATACCATTATTCCACTAAATATACATATAGTGGTCAGATGTTCAGTGTATTGTAAAACCATCATAGGATTATATTTGCCAAGGTTAAAATATTGCAAATTCTTTATTTTTTTTATTAAAATGTAGATTCTAAGAGACTTATATAAATAGAACTGATTCAAAGGTGCAAAGGATGACAACTACATTCAGCAAATCTGGTTTCAAAATGTCCCCTTTTTTAAAATTATGGAAAATAAGTATTATATTTAGAAACCTTAATGCACCAAATAGTTGAGTCAAATACATTCCTTTGCAATTCTTAGATCTAATTTTATCTAATGTTTGCCTTACACATTCAGAAACTTAATGAGCTATTATTTCCGAAAGAAATTATTTAGCTTTATTTGCAGTATTTTTAATACTTACTAGAATCTAAAACTATTAGCAAATAGCAACAACAGAGACTGCATTTTAAAAACTAATAAATTTAAAGAGACTATACTGAGATGTAAATCAGGAAGTAGTTATTTGCTTTACAAAAGGTTCCTAAATATACAGATAATTCTTAGCATGTGCTCTTTAAATATTTGTGTATTTAAAATAAGTTTACTAAAAAGTTTGACATACCAAACTTTAAGAAACCCCACCAATTACATAAAAAGAGGCACTATTTTTACCCACAAAAGGCATGAAAATGTTTCAATACTTCAAAATAGAGAGGGTCAGAAACAGGTGATTTCTCAAAAACAAAACAATTTAATAAGATGGCTATTCCTGTGCCCTTCAAGAAATTAACTCCTACTTTTTAAAAAAATCATATTTTTCAGGCCTATTTGTAACACACTTTGACGTCCACTTCTGCTTTTCCATGAATTAGTCTGTACTGTAGGGAAAAGTGCCACACCAAAGCTACTGGCAATTTGGGTTAATGTCCTAGAAAAAAACCCTGTCTAAATATATAAAAAATACCAACAAAAATACCAGCTTCGTTCTGAAATACAATGCATACTCCTTAGGTTGTTAAAACTTTACCAATCTAACAAAAAGCACCAAGATACAAATGCTGAAGTTAGAAAAAATATAAACCAGCACAGAGTCATATAACTTATCAAGTAAGTTTTCATTTTTATTGAAATGTTTGCTATTTAGGAAGCTAAATAACTTAAATTTATAGACTAGAAATTCCATCTCTACCCTTAACAAAGATTTATTATTAAAGAATAAATGTTAAAACTAAAAACAACATTGTGAGTACTCTTTCTCCATACCTAATAAGCAAAGTTATTAAGTTTGGTAAAAAGTTACCAAATTTTCCAATGGAAAAGAAGTAATTTTTTTTGAAAATAAAAAGTAAACTTAGAAATAAAGGAATTAAGGCACTTATTTGAATTGCTTTGCAACATAAAGGGGAAAGTATGCTTTGTATTTCTTCAAAAACCATAAACTTTGTTCCTTTCATAATAGATCTCTATTGTCAAATCTGCCAATTCTAAGTTACCCAAATAGAACTGGGAGTTACAGAATTTCTAATTATGTGTTACTTTACATATAAGTAAAGAAATTAAATGATTCTCAAAGTTTTCTTGTAATATAGTTCTAAATAGTTAAAATAGAAGCAAATAAGCTTCTCTCATTTCCAGTATTATTTCTATAATAAAGTTTATATTTTTCTTTCCAACTGATGATGATGAAAATGTCATTATTTAAGAAATTCAATTAAAAACTCCAAATCTACTTTATTTAAGACATAAATTGACAAAAGCAAAAACAACTAATATGTCAAAAATAAAAACAAAAAAGCCCACAACAATCAAAACTAATTTAGCAAAACTAACTGATCAAACATAAATCAAAAAAAAAAAAACAACCAAAACCACAAATATTTCATGCTACGTAAGTAGGGCAGTATAGCTCCCTTTCAAAATATGCAAGCTGACTTTTAAATGACGTACTCTAATCACAAGCACGACTATGTACTGTGTACTCAGGTAACTAGTCATATTTTCATAAGGCTTAGAGCTAAATACTAATAACTCACTACTAAGATGTACACAGAACCTGAAATATCTTTGCTTGCAGTTATCTTAAATTGTTAGAAAATACATATAAAAGCATGAAATGAGACCCAAAAAGGTGAATGTACCAGATATATGACTGTCATCACACAATTCTTCAGCTCCAAAAGAGCAGAGCACCTAGTTAGTCTAAGAATACTTGTGCTTTTGTACTTTAAGTATATATACATATACACATAAAATAAAGACAATGGAAAGATACTCCTTTCTAATGTAATAGTTTAGAGTACTGAAACTATAATTTTTAAAGCACTCTAAACAAGTGAAAATCTAGAAAACCTGTTCACTAAACAGATATGCAAGATGAAACGAAACATATATCCTGTAGTATTAAAATGGTACATCTATCTTCAATCTATTTATTAAAAATAATGGCTGTTTATTGTTTGGCCTTTGGTTCCAATGCTTGAAAATCCAAAAATAACAAAAAAGATCTCCCCTCCCTCCAGTCCCCTTCTGAGTCTCTTTTTGTAAGTTCACATTAATCACTTAGGATTTTAATTAAGGATTTAAAATATTAAGTGTTTAACTTAAAGGAACACAACATTTAGACAGTGAAACTGTGATGTGAATTTCATTATAATTGTCATATCATTAATAATATTGAATACTGTCACAGTTTCATAAATAAAAGCACGTGTTTTATAGTAAATATATCTGTGGCAGAGGTATGTTTAACAGCATCTGTTCATTATCTCCAGAAATTTTTGCTCATTGTAGTGTACATATTTTTATTCTGAAAAAGATGTAATTTTTCCTTAATAGTTCAGTAGAAAACATGTGAATAGATTATACACTCCATTCCATATTTCTTAAAAATCTGAACCATCTTTTAAATGTCTATTTTAAAAATATATATAGGTAATAACAGTTACTGTTTTATCATGATTAAATTAGTATCCAATTTATGGGCTTAAGTGAAAAAGCTACCACTTAATAGACAGTCATAAAATAATAAAATGCAGTATCATGCACTATATATTACTAACAAAGTGCTCACTTTTACATAAGCAGCAGATGATGAAAACAGTATTATGAAAAATCTGGATATATCTTTATACATATATCCTTAAAAATAATTTTCTTTACATAATTTCCATTTTAATTTAAATGCCATACTTTTTCGCTAACATTTAAATTAGTTCTTTATTGTAATTATTCACTTCTATTATAAACCATGAAAACTTTTCAGAAACTGCCTTGAGAATAAGTCTTTCCTTCTATTCTTTAATTATATCACAGTAAGTATTTATTAAATGTTATGTTTGAGAGATATAATCTAACCTTGAACATATTTAAATTCAGTATCAATGTTATGACAGAAGGAAAATTTATGAGGAAAATTCCACAACAGTTTAGAAGGTAAAAACTTTAAATACCATGTAACAACAAGGAAAACATCAGGCTATAATATTGCAGAGTGCTAGAGCTGATATATTACCAAAGGACAGTAATGCTTGATTTTCTATTCCCCTCCAGAACTCTGGATCCAGTTAACATCAATAGGGGAAAAGCAGCAGCAACATTTTAAATGTCCATATTCTATTTCCAAAAGATAGCACGTAGGTAGAAGAAAAAATTTTTCCTTCAGTTGGTATAAGTCTTTGAAATGAAGGCTCTGCTATTTTTCAAGACTGAAAGGATATCACAGTGTTGATTTTATATACAAAGTAGGATCTGTTCCAGTATACTCTAGTGAAGTAATTCACATATGGAGAATAGTTAATTTTGACCTCATGACAAAATCGCCCGTATTTTGAGTAGGTTAACTTGTCACCTTCTTCACAAACCACCTATCAAAAGATATGAAACACAGTATTCAAAAGTTTATTAAGCTTGTAAAAGAAATGCAATCAATGTACAAATGACTATATTACATGAAAAAAAATATTATTTCTAAACATGGACTATCTCACAAGGGAAGGTGCTAAGCACCTCACATTGTTTAACAAATAAAAGCCTCTTCATAAGAGTCATCATGTCCAAAGAACTCTTGAGCTTCCCACTGAGGTTAAGAAAGGAAAGGCGTTGTCCCCACATAATTTCTTTAAAGAACCTTATCATGGAGCCTACCAAGGCTAAGAAACAAATATATTATATTCTTAATGTATATTTAAACTCTTCTTGTGTAGAACTTTTCCTTGTGTAGAATAATTATCAATATCTTAGTGAGCAAATAAATTTTTGTGACTTATCTAGTGCAAACCTTTACATTATCATCTTAATAATGTTTACTAAGATAGCTTAACTAGCTTAGAGGATTTTTTAAAATATAATAAAACACTAAATATTATTCTACTGCCTAGGAAAGATGTCAGCGAGTCAAGTTTAAGAGTAAAAGGATGGATTAGCTTAAGTTCATGCCTAGTAATATATGAAAAAAGTTGCCTATATTCAAAATGAAACAAAAAGGTGGGCAGCCAAAAGCAGAATAAAAAAGCTCCAAAAAGCAGATAGCATATAGCAGTAAATATTGTTTAATGAAATTCCATTTTGCTTCCAATTAGCCAAAGACCACAGACACCAAGTATCAATAAAGAAAATTCAAAATACATACAGCAAACAGGGCCTCCCTGGTGGTACAAGGGGTTAAGACGTAACCTATGAAGCTGTCTGCAGCCACACAGCACGAGTTTGATCCCTGGCCAGGGAGCTACCCACATGGTGCAGCAGACCTCTCCTGACTTGCCCGCTGCTCCCCTCAGCAGTGTATTTGTCATTATGCCTGTTCTGTTCCCCACTCTGTCTCTAGTGAATCTTCTCACCCCCCACACCTCTGGCCTGTACCCCAGTTCTGCATGCATAAATAAATAAATCTTTTTTTTGGTTTGTTTTTAAAGATTTATTTTTTATTTATACAATAGTTGGGGTACAGGCCAGAGCCACAGAAGGGTGAGAGGATTTACCAGAGACAGTGGGGAGCAAAACAGGCAAACGGACCAAAAGCACTGCTGAGGGGAGCTGAGGGGAGCAGCAGGAGCAACAGGAGAGGTCTGCTGTGCCATGTTGGAATCTCCCTGGCCGGCCGGGAATCGAACTTGCGCTGTAGAGGCTATGGACAGCTTCACAGCGCTGCACTCAAACTGCTGTGCCACCGGGGAAGCCCTAAATAAATAAATCTTAAAAAAAAATACATACAGCAAACAGAATTAAGTTTATACCACAAGATTAAGGAGTCATAAAAAAAAGAGAAAACTTATAAAAACTAATTTCTCACCTCCAAACTGTCCTGGGATGGTAAGAGAAAGAACTAGTTATTTAAGAAGGGACAAAAATAATAATGGTTGCAATCTGAACAGAAATGTGCACTCCTACTTAGAATGACTTACTAAACTTTTCCTAAGGTCCTCCACACCCAACTTTCCCAGGAGTAAAAGCATCCATTCCAGGCAACACTAATTATCAGCTATACACACTTCCCTGACAGTCTTCTTATTTGACAGATATACAGTATATACATTGCGGGCTAAGAAGTTAGAAAGGTTAGTACAATAGCTCAAATCGATGAAAAATATCAAGATACAGCTAAATCCTAAGGACTAAAAGGGCTCTGCACTCATGAGTAATAGGGTCTCAGAGTACAAGCTCTGTGATAACTTAGTAAGCATTTTTTCTAGATAAGTGTTAAATTACAGGAATTCTTCTATGTAAGAATATAACAAAGCAAATACAGTTAGTTGCTTTCTAGATTACTGTAATGAGTTAAAATCACCATTCAAATCAAATTATACCACCTTTTTAAAATAAATGTTGAACATGCACAAGTACAAGCAATGAATAAAAAAATGCAAGTATTGGTAAAATTATTTTTTACAAAAAGCCTAAATTTTCTTTTGTGCACTGAAAAAATACTTCAAAATAGTTTTACTAAGTTCCCCCATTGTTATCTAACTTTATATTCTTAAATTCCAAAAATGAAGTTTGAAGATTGTAAATTAAAATAAAGTCATTCTTGAAGAAATTCAACTTTCCAAATAATTACTTACATGGCCATTTGCAACGTCTAATAAATCTTTAACCCTACAGCCTCTCATGGTTCCAACCTCATTGCAGATAGCATCCTCTACAATTAAGTAATTAGCTTTGTATGATGTCAGTATTTTATAAATATCCTCAGCAGACCGCTTTGAATAGATTTGATAGATCTGAAAAGAATATAATTAAGAGTGATTTTAAAAGACATTCATAACTTCATTAACCAAAACTATATACTGAGCATCTACTATGTTTTGATATTGAGTATTATTTGTGAAAAATAAGATATTCACTAAGATTTGATTCTGCCCTCAAGAAGCTTAAGTTCATATATAACTATTGGCAAATTCTTTATCTTTTTGGGGGAAACATTCATTCAAGTCCTCTGCCCATTCTAACCAAAACTATATACTGAGCATCTACTATGTTTTGATATTGAGTATTATTTGTGAAAAATAAGATATTCACTAAGATTTGATTCTGCCCTCAAGAAGCTTAAGTTCATATATAACTATTGGCAAATTCTTTATCTTTTTGGGGGAAACATTCATTCAAGTCCTCTGCCCATTCTGTCTGAGAGATAAATGACATAACACTGTAGTTTTAGGTGTTTAATGAGTTAATTTTATATATGCATTGCAAAAGATCACCACTATAATGTTAACATTTCCATCATGTCACATAATTACCATTTCTCTTTTTGTGTTGACATTTTAGATCTACTACTGTGTTACCAACTTGAAAGTTGCTACGTGTTATTAAATCACTGGGGTCTCTCAGTTGGCCCAGGGGTTAATTCTCAGTACTATCACCACTACTGCCTGAGTTCAATCCCCAGCTAGGGAGATAACCCACATATGGCATAGCAGACCTCTCCTATCTCACCAGCTGCTCCCTTAGGCAGTGTATTTCAGCAGATCTGCCTATTCTGCTTTCCACTCTCTCTGGTGAATCCTCTCACCCCCCACACCTCTGGCTTACACCCCAGTTTTTGTATGAATAAAATAAATAAATCTTATAAATAAATAAATATGGCTCCTATTTTCATAGGCAAGTCACTTAACATTCTAAAACAATTAATTAGAACCTAATTAAAAGTGATTCTGAAATTATATAGGGGAAAAAAAAACATGAAAAAGACAACAAAAAAACAAGGCAAGTTCAGAGTTGGGTTGGTTTAAATTCACAAAAAATAATGTTCATCTATTATATGTTATATATATTCTATTATATGTTGTATATATTCTATTTTCAAAATAGGGGTGCAAAATTCTGCAAAATCTAATTACAGGCAGCTGTTGTCTCACAGGTAAATCACTCTCTAGTAGGTGTCCCCATCTCTGACCTCACCCTACTTCAATGTGCTCTCTCTGCTACGACCATAAATATCTCTGACACAGATTTAAGAGTTGCACTTTCAGGGCCTCCCTGGTGGCGCAAGGGGTTGAGATGCAATCTATGACGCTTTCAGCAGCTACTGCAGCATGAGTTCGATCCCTGGCCAGGGAGAAACCCACATGGTACAGCAGATCTCTCCTGACTCGCCCACTGCTCCCCTCAGCAGTATATATCAGTCAATCTGCCTGTTCTGTTCCCCACTCTGTCTCTGGTGAATCCTCTCACCCCCACACCTTTGGCCTGTACCCCAGTTCTTATATGCATAAATAAATCTTAAAAAAAAAATAGTTCCACTTTCAGATTTATTAAAGGTCTTTGATGACTCCCAACTTACTCCTCAAGGGTAAGTCTAAATTCTTCAGCATGACCTTGCAGATACTTCAAAATCTGGCCTCATTTTATTTTCTAGTTTCATAGCCACACAAATTTCAGGGCTCATGTTACTTTTTTAGTCTGGAATCGTTTTCTTTTCCCAATCACGTTTCTACTTATCCTTCAAGTCCCAGGTCAAGGAAATTCCCTTTATGAAGACTTTTTGGAGGCAGAATTGTTTCCTCTTGGGTTTGAACTCCTGTCTGTACTTTGTGCATTTATATGTATGTGTGTATGCACCTACAATTGCAACTTATAGTACATACTAATAGTATTTAAATTTGACTACATTTCTGGCATAGTGCATTATCTCAATTAATATCACATTTAGGAGTTGAGAACTATTATTATTTCCCCATTTAGAAACTTGGTAAAGGTCACAAAGCTAGTTCATGATAGAGCTAGCATTTGAGAACAGATGTTTCATTTCAGAGTCGCATTTTTAAGAGTCTAACCTTGGTATCAGAATCTAACATCTATATTGCTTATTTCCACCCTTAGAGTACACTGAAAAACTACAAGAAATTTTGTCAGCTTGAAAAAACTAGACTATTTCAAACTCAGGTTCAACTGGTCTTTACCTCTTCCAGCTATGAAGTTCATCTGAATTCATTATCAAACATTTAAAACAATTTATTCTCTGAACAAGAAGTAATTAGATATCATTCTAATGTTATACTAAATAATTACAAGTATCCCATGTGTATCAAGACATTAACTGAAAATCTTCCTTCAGTAATTTGAGAATAATGCTATTTTTGAAGGAATGGTTCCCTTTGTGAAATATTATACATCAATTTCCTTGAAACTCTGTGGAAAATGAAATGTGTCTCCTAGAAACAACAATACTATTCAAAAACAAGAAACTTTTGATATTTTAATTTTGGCTCTTCTCTTAGTTAAGTGAATTACATAGCTTTTTAAAAATTAAAGCTGATTAACTCTTCTATAATTGCTTGGATTTTCCTAACTAACAGGAAGATATATAGTACAGAACTATACCGAAATAAAGAATGATAGAAAAAAAGATCCAAAGGTAGAATCTAAAATGCCTTACATTTTCATTTCTCTTGAGAAGATCATCATCATTGTAAAGAGGCAAGCTTGTCACCATCCACCCAGTACATAATTTAATTGCACCCATTAATTGTGGGCTCCCTGCAAACACAGCTGCAACTGGAGCTTGTCTTCTGCAAAGAATCAAAAAGATTTACACAGTGAAAAGTATACTATTTAGATCACCAGTTTATATTAACTCTGAAATACCAGTCAACTTACTATGTATTACATAATTTTTTTTTTTTTTGGTGGGACCCTTGCCGGTGGCCAGGGAACGAACCGGTGCTGCAGAGGCTGCAGGCAGCCTCACAGCCCCAGCAATCAACCATTGCGCCACCAGGGGAGGCCCTTACGTAAGTTTTAATGTCAGTTTTTATTTTATTTTTACATTCATTTAAAAATATAAGTGTCTACGATGTACCAAGAGCTTTTCTGAATGCTGAGGACAGAAATTTTTATAAAAGGGAAAGACAGGGACATAAGATGAGCTCCCTGCTTTTGAGAGGGAGTAGAAGGAGGGAAGACAAATTAGGTGGTAATGATGGTATTAAAATATAATGCAGGGTTGGCCTCCCCGGTGGTGCAGCGGTTGAATGCTGGGTTGCGAAGCTGCCCGCAGCCTCTGCAGCCTCCGCAGCCTCTGCAGGTTCGATCCCCGGCCACCAGGCGAGGGTCCCAAATGGCACGCAGACCTCTCATGCCGCCCACTGCTCCCCTCAGCAGTGTACTTCGTCAGTCTGCCTGCTCTGCTCTCCACTCTGGCTCTGGTGAATTCTCTCACCCTCCCATGCTTCTGACTGTACTCAATGCTTGTATAAATAAATAAATAAATCTAAAAAAAATAATAATAATGCAGGGTAACGGGACAGTAACAGGAATAAACTGTTTTACATAGTGTGGTCAGTTCATTAGTGAGACTGTAATTTCTCAAATACGTATCAGGCAAATATTAACAACCACAATCAAACCGCTTTCATGTCCATCTATCCTCCTTCCTTCTCTACCTAACCATGTATCTGTCTCTACTTTGAACCATGATCCAAAGTTACAGACACATCCACTTACCAGGCTAGAAAATCTATAACAGGTCACAAGGGGCTGCTCTAATGCCTTCATTATTCACCCCATGCATCCAAGATTTAACATCCACTTCAGTATTTCACAATGGTAAATATAATTCATAACAAATATTAATGGGAAACTGTTAAGAGTTAAGAGTGACGTAAAGAAAACAATTTATATATATATAAAGGTTATCTTTACAGAAATAAGGCCTGATAATAAAACTATTTTCATTGCTATGTATCTTCTATAAACCCATTCCTCATTTCTAGAAACATTTCCTCTATATTTTCTACTCTTTTAAAATAGTGTTTTATTTTTATTCCTTTTTCATGGTTTAGTTTCTTCTATGTCCTTAATAATTATCAATGTAGTTATTTCATAGTTTCTACCCATGAAATTCTTCTCCCTATACTATGCTCTTGGAGAGAACACTGTTCTGGACATATGACTTGCTCTGGCCAATAAAACAACAGCAAACATAATGTGAGCAAAGACTTAACACATGATTGACACTGAGACTTCCCCTCCTCTTGCTGCTCTTGGGAACTCTATGAACACAACCTTGAGAACAAGCCTAGGCTAATCTACACTAGATGTTGAGAGTCACGTGGCCAAGTCAATTTCATGTCCTTAGCTGACACTTACCTAACGCTAAACTTGTGGAGAGACCATGCCAGATTAATATCAGCTGAACCAGACCAGACAGGAGGAATCTCCACCACTTCTCCTACCCAGCTGACCCTTAATATGATGCAAAATAAATGTTTAATGATTGTAAGTCACTAAATTTTTTAATGGTCTATTATTCAGCAAAAACTGACACAAATTGCTAGAGGTTGAATTCCACTGTTTATCACAAAAACAGTTAATTCTTGCTGTGTTGGACTGTGTCCTCATGTGTTTTGTAATTTTAGAGTTCATTTTCATGAAGTTTTATTTGTGGAATCCTGTGTAGCCTGGGTTGAAGATTTATCAGGAACTGCAGACCATCCCAGGACCACTTCTTATTAATTTCTTGATTTGGTATTTCTGGGATTCCACAAATGTAATTTCAAACTAGAAACCCATGTGAATTCAGATCCATTGCTACAAATTCAGAAGAGAGACTTTTTTGATCAAAAGGTGAGGCTAAGGAAGACATGCTTTCTTAACATCTTTCTCTACACAGGATGACATTTTGCAGTCCACCCTTTCACTGATAGTGTAGCCCTTTAGGATACCTTTGTTATATATGTGTGTGCCAGGGAATTTCCACAGACCCAAGACCACATCTCCTGTTCTGACAGGGCAATAAAATATGTGTAAGCATTAAAATTAACAATCCAGATTTAAAAAAAAATCTAGGTAACCTTGGTTACCAAGACTAGCAATCCACCACACAACCACCTTCAAACCAGGGCAAAAGAAGACTCTTCTTAAGTGTCTAAATAAAAGGGTATTTGTTCATTTTTATTCCACATCTCTAGGTATTTTATGGCAAGAATATCTCAAATGTATCAACCCTATATTTTCAGTGGAGATGGTTCAACTAGAAAATCAGAATTAAAAGTCCAATAAAGAAGTAAATACTGGGCTTCCCTGGTGGCGCAAGGCATTAAGCACCGCACTATGAAGCAATCCACAGCCTCTGCAGCACAAGTTTGATCCCCGGTCGGCCAGAGAGAAACCCACATGGCGAAGCAGACTTCTCCTGTCTCGCCTGCTGCTCCCCTCAGCAGTGTATTTCAGTCAGTCTGCCTGTTCTGTTGCCCGCACTGTCTCCGGTGAATCTTCTCACCCTGTGCATCTCTGGCGTATACCCCACCTCTTGTATACATAAATAAATAAATCTTAAAAAAAAAAAAAAAAAGTAAATACTCCCCCAAAATGTAGGGTAAAATTTCTGAGTTTCATGTGAAAATTTTGGGAAAGAATTAATTTATAATTTCCCCTATATCTACTCAATAGCATGCAATGATTAGTTAAAAACTTCACAATAGTCTTGGGTAGTTAAATTCTTACTTTATCCACGTCATAAGTTCCACTGTATCTGGGTCATAAAATTCTTGTAGTTCCGTTAATTCTGTCATTAATCTTGGAAAAAACTAAAATGTAAAACAAAATCCCCAGAAGTGTATGTAAGTATCTACAGATAGTTTAAAACTGTTCCAGAGTATTTCAAGAGACTTAAGATAAGCAATATTATAAAACTGTTCTCATGGAAAAAATATCATAAATCTCTCTGCTTTCCTTCAGTGACCTGCTCATTCTTGTCAGTCCAAATAATATATTTTGTGATTAATTTACTGCTTAAATTCAACAAATAATTTAATCACCAGTTATATCTTTGATGTACAAATGTACTGAAAAAAATAAGTAAATTTTAGGTCAAATAATTCACAGGTTTATTGACAATTAGTTTCATGATCCATTATGATGTCAATGAATTTCTATTATTTTATATACATTTCAACTTTGGAAACGCCAAAGTATGTTTTAATATAAAGATCTACTTATTCAGGAATTTCCTTTGCCAATTATAAGCTGAATTAAAAACAGCATTAAACTAGAGAAAATTTCATTAGATTGCATTCTTAAAATACTTAAAACTTTTCTATCCTGTTGCTAATGGTAAAAAAGTTAAGCATTAGAAAGAATATCAAACTATTTTGTTAGGACAGTTTCTTAATATAAGTGTCCTATACATACATACACTTTCATCACTACCATATAAAGTCTATAAAAATTGGATTTTCTTACCTCTTTCCATAAGCTGAGACCTATTATAGTTGGCACAGCCATGCTCAGAATTAGCGCCTAAAATATTAAAGGAAAAAAGTTAAGGATACATTTTTTAATATACTTTAAAAATATTAGATGCTGATACCATGACCAATCACACATCCTTCCAGTTATAAAAAGAAATCTAGTTCATGGAATGAGATGGGTGAAGACAAGTATAAGACATAACAGATTGAAGATAAAGTGAGGTACATTTACTATATAAATTTAAGACAGAAAAACAACAAAAACCCCTAATACTTAGAGTAATATTTCAAATAGTAAATCAACATTGGACAATTTTGCTAGCAAGTTATGAAGCACTAACAAAGGTTAGTGAACCTAAAAAGTTACCAATAAAGACAATGAATTAACACAGGAAAAATGGCTAATATCAATATACTAATATGCTAAAATAAGAATGTATAAATTCCTCTGGCAATAGACTGGCAAAATACAAAATGACTACACTTTTTTTTAAAAAGATTTAATTATTTATGCATACAAGAGCTGGGGTACAGGCCAGAGATGTGGGGTGTGAGAGGATTCACTGGAGACAGAGTGGGGAACAGAACAGGCAGACTGACCAAAGCACACTGCTGAGGGGAGCAGTGGGCAAGACAGGAGAGGTCTGCTGTGCCATGTGGTTTGCTCCCTGGCTGGCCAGGGATCAAACTCATGCTGCAGAAGCTGCGGATTGCTTCATAGTGTGGTGCTTAACCCCTTGCGCCACCGGGGAGGCCCCAAATGACTACTATTAAAGATAATTATTCACAATCTTCCTGCCTGTACTTCCTATTGTCCCATGTCTGGTGGTGACTCCAAAATTCAGTCATACAAACCAGAAATCTAGGAAATATCTATGATTTTGCCTTCTTCCTCATTTTCTCATACTTATTAATAAGCACCAAGTCATATTATTCTTTTTAGTTTTTTTACTCTAGTATAGCATTATTAATTGAATAGGCTTTAAAGTGAGAAAAACTTGGGTGTGAATCATGGTTTCCAAACATAAAACTATGTGATCTCATACAAGTTACTGTGCCAATTTAAGTCTTAGTTTCCTTGTCTATAAAATACAGATCTTAGCCTAACTAGTTGGTTCTTTGTAAGCACTGAATAAAAATGACCAGTACTTGACACATGCTCAGTAAGTTGAAGCTTTTATCACTTCTATCCAGCTTGGTCAGTACTTGGAGGTTGGCCTTCTTCCTGGGTTCAGTATGTCACCATTAAACCTATGCGTCACAGAACTGAGAGGGTCAGCTGAGAATTAGTCTACCGAGAGAAACTGTAAGCTGAGTCTCTCATCCTATATGGCCATCTCTATGCCCTTCTGGCTGCCTACCAAACAAGATCAAGCATCACAGCAAGACATTCAAAGGCATACATGAACTTCCTCTCTCTGTCTTCTCCAGTTTTGTTTGTTTTGTTTATACATGCACTGGGTACAGTCAGAAGCGCGGGAGGGTGAGAGAATGCACTAGAGCCAGAGCGGGGAGCAGAGCAGGCAGAAGGACTGAAGTACACTGCTGAGGGGAGCAGCGGGCGGCAGGAGAGGTCTGCGCGCCATGTGGGACCCTCCTCCGGTGGCCGGGGAGCAGCCGGGGATCGAACCGGCGCTGCAGAGGCTGCGGGCAGCTTCGCAACCCAGCGCTCAACCGCTGCGCCACAGGGGAGGCCCTCTTCACTTATTTTTATATTCTCTTTGATTATATCATGTTCTTTGCCTGCCTTTGTTTATTCCTTCTACCATGAATACTTTCTTTTCCCTTTATTTGATTAGTAATTCATCATCTTTCAAATCTTAATTAAGTAGCCCTTTACTGTGTTCCAACAGCATCCTATCAATACTTCTAATCTATTTCTATTACCAGGAGACTAATCTATTTGTTGAAGTTAATCATGATTTTTTATCTGTGAATTCAAGCATATTGCATGTAGCAGGCAGAATATAACTCTGATTCATTATTAATAACCTACTTTAGTTTTAAATCAAAAAAAGATATCAAAAATTCTTGATAGCCTCTCATGATTCACTTTTACCTATTTTTTTTTTTTAAGATTTATTTATTTATTATTTATACAACCACTGGGTACAGTCAGAAGCGCGGGAGGGTGAGAGAATTCACCAGAGCCAAAGCGGGGAGCAGAGCAGGCAGAAGGACCGAAGTACACTGCTGAGGGGAGCAGCGGGCAGCAGGAGAGATCTGCGCACCATGTGGGACCCTCCTCCAGTGGCCGGGGAGCAGCCAGGGATCGAACCAGCGCTGCAGAGGCTGCGGGCAGCTTTGCAACCCAGTGCTCAACCGCTGCGCCACCAGGGAGGCCCACTTTTACCTTTTCTTTACTAAGTTGTCTGCACTGAAATTCAGGACTCATAAAATTACAATACTATACTCAGGAATTATAAAAAGATGTTTTTCACAGGATCTTTTTTTCTATCTGAAAGTGATTTACTCATACCACTTCAATTGTATACATTGTGGTTTGCATTTATTACCATTTGATTTTATGTAACTGGAAGAGAAACAAGTACTTAACACAAAATAACAATGACTCACCAACAATACGGGGTGTACAGTTCGCAACCGAAGCCACTTGAAAAGCGTCATCCAAAGTTCAGGAGAGCACACACCAAATGCTGCTAACATGCACACATAAGGAGTCCAGAGATATTTCAAGCTGGGCAAATGAAAGGAATCACATGAGAGATATCCTATGGACATATTATTATGCATTTCTTTTCTGAGTTTTTTCCTATTACCCACAAAAATAGCAAAAAATTAAGGAAGTATAAAAAAGTTTAGCCTCCAATTCTCATCAAAAGATTGTTATTCTTTTTTAAATAGTCAATGACTATATGGGTCACTAAGTGAGGACGAAATAAGAGAATTAATACAGATAGGGTATAGTAAAATTGTACTTTTGGAAAAAATATAAACTATTGTACTTTTAAAAGGCAATGTAGCAAAATCTATATAAATTTTAAATACCCAAGACATTATGATGTCTAATACTCTATAGATAAATATAAGCATATGTATAAACATATACAACATGCTGCATGTTGTTTTGACAGCCAAAAAAAAAATTGGAAAGACCTAATTGTCCCTTAATAGGCATTAAATAAATTATGCAAAATGTAAAAAAAAAATCATGTATAGTGTTACCCTGGTTTTTGGTGTTTAGTTTTTTAAATGCAGGCACTGTACAACCAAAAAAATAACATCTGAAAATATTGCTAATAGTGGTGACATTTAAAGAGTGGGATGAAAGGATTTTCTTTTAGATTTTTAAAAACATTTTAATTTTTGGGCCTCCTGGTGGCACAGCGCTGTGAAGCTGTCCGCATCCTCTGCAGCATGGATTTGATTCCTGGCCAGCCAGGGAGATACCCACATGGCATGGCAGACCTCTCCTGTCTCACCCGCTGCTCCCCTTGACAGTGTTTTTGGTTGTCTGCCTGTTCTGCTCCCTGCTCTGTTTTTGGTGAATTCTCTCACCCTCCCACACCTCTGGCCTGTATCCCAGTTCTTGTATAAATAATTAAATGTTTAAAAAAATTTTTTTTAATTTTTTATTAATGTGACATTGGTTATAACATTATAGGCTTCAAGTACAGACATAAGTATACAGACATATATATATATATGTGTGTGTGTGTATACACACACAATTGTATTGCTACAGTATGTTCATCACCAAAAGTCTGGGAACAAATCTTTTTTAAAAAAAAAGATTTTATTTATTTATGCATACAAGAGCTGGGGTGTAAGCCAGAGGTGCAGAGTGAGGCATGAGAGGATTCACCAGACACAAAGTGGGGAGCAGAATAGGCTGAGAACACTGCTGAGGGGAACAGTGGGTAAGAGAGGAGAGGTCTGCTGTGCCACATGGATTAGCTCTCTGGCCAAGGATTGAACTCATGCTGTAGTGGCTGGCGATAGCTTGATAGTGCTGAGACTTAACCCCTTGCGCCACCAGGGAGGTCCACACACTTTTTTTTTTAAATCAATGTATGTCGTTTAGGTCATATAGTCTACATTGTCTTCTTTCATTAAAAAAAAATTAGTAATCCTTAATTATGGTTCCAATCATACTGAAAGACTTCTTTATCACATTTCTCCATAAAATCCTCCCTGATTATACCCCTCCCTCATATTTTACTTTAAATATTTCTATATTATTTGGGTTTCTTATCATATATATTATTACATCTGAGATTATTTAAAAAAAAACAAAGATTAAAAAATCAGGGATTGAAATAATAAATACAGGACCTCCCTGGTGGCACAAGGGGTTGGGCACAGCACTATGAGGCAGTCCACAGCCTCTGTAGAGCGAGTTTGATCCCTGGCTGGCCAAGGGGCAACCCACATGGCACAGCAGACCTCTCCTTGCTCGCCCGCTGCTCCCCTTGGCAGTGTATTTCGGTCAGTCTGCCTGTTCTGTACCCCACTCTATCTCTGGTGGATTCTCTCACCCCCTGCATCTCTGGCCTGTACCCCAGGTCTTTATGCATAAATAAATCTCTAAAAAATAATAATAAATTCAGATATTCAGAATTACTTTATGTTGTAAGTTCTAGAAAAAAAAAACAAAAGGAATGTATCACCTTAGAAGATGATAAAAGCTGAAGATGAGAGAGGAAGAGTTTAGGAAAATTCGTAGATATCAGTACTTCATACAGATTACCAAGGAAAATCAATATATCAGGAAATAACTTTTGAAATTAATATTAAGGGGCCTCCTTGGTGGTGCAAGGGATTAAGACACAACCTATGAAGCTGTCCGCAGCCACTGCAGTACAAGTTCGATCCCTGGTCAGGGAGAAACCCACATGGCGGAGCAGACCTCTTCTGACTTGCCCGCTGCTCCCCTCAGCAGTGTACTTCGGTACTTCTACCTGTTCTGTTCCCCACTCTGTCTCTGGTGAATCCTCACCCTCACACCTCTGGCCTGTACCCCAGTTCTTTGTATGCATAAATAAATAAATCTTAAAAAAATTAATAATAGAGAACGAGAGCCTTCCATGACAAATTCCTTGATATCAAATTCAAGAGACTAGAAGAATCTGAAGTCAGAGTATAAATATCAATCATTATTTTATAAAACAGCAATACTATAGAATGAGGAAAATAAAGTAGTATGCTTATTTATTTTATTTTATTTTTTTAAGATTTATTTATTTTTTTATATAAGAACGGGGTATAGTCAGAGGTGCGGGAGGGTGAGAGAATTCACCAGAGCCAGAGAAGGGAACAGAACAGGCAGACTGACGAAATACACCGCTGAGGGGAGCAGCGGGCATGGCAGGAGAGGTCTGTCGCGCCATGTGGGACCCTCGCCAGCGGCCGGGGATTGAACCGGCACTGCAGAGGCTGTGGGCAGCTTCTTAGCCCAGCACTCAACAGCTGCGTCACCAGGGGAGGCCCAGGATGTTTATTTAATAAACAATTATTGAGAATGCACTGCAGGCTGACCAAACTATAGAGAGGAAAAAGAAAAATAAGAAATGTCTTTTTTTTTCCATTAAGATCACATTGGTTTACAACACAGATGAGTCATTAGTATAGGATCACACCCTTTCAGATGTATGCTAACACACCTAACCCACCCTTCACAGAGGTCTTTATCAAGATAAAATAAAGCTGAACATACTGGAAACAATTAGAAAATAACAGTAAAAATTTTTTTCTTTTGAGAAGAAAGTACTTAATGAAGGTTTTTTAAAAAAGAATACTGACTCAGGCCTTGAGAGTAGTAGATGTGCGAAGAACACAAGTTGCTAATATAGAGGAACTGCTAGTTAACCAATATCTTCTCTTAACTTCCCCATTTCTAATATCAATCTATTCTTCCAGTCAGCCTGAATTAGTACTAGAGTATAGTGCATAGTTCCACTGAATTATATGTATATATAGAAACAAACTGGAACAGAAACTCCCTGCTAGTGATTAGACCATTACACCAAATTCAGCAATTTGTCTGTTTCCATCCCTCCCTTACCATTTAGCACAATAGCATTCTAATTAACAGCTCTATCTTCAGACTCTTTTCCAGTTCAACCAAATGCCAGATGAATCTTTTTTAAACATAAATAGGCTAAAACATTTTCTCTTCAAACATCTTCAATGGTTCCCAAGGGCCTATTAAATAAATAAAAATTCATCTAAATTGTTTTAGGGCTTCTAAATTTGATTCAGCTTTCCAGGTTTTTCTCCTACTGCATCCCTCAATGTGATTAAATGTTCCAAAGTCTGTAGGACAATCTCACTGTCTCTACTCCATAATGAATGTAAGTTTCTCCCTCCTGGTACAACTGTACCCCTCTCCAGTTGCTGCCTCTGATCTTAATTACCTTTACAGCCAGATTCCTTAAAGTCTACACTCATCTTTCCTACCTCACCTTCCACTATCTCTCATCATGTTCTCCTTCAAAAAGTCTTCCTTGGTTTCTGAGCTGCAACTCTTCCCTTGGCCCCTGTACTGCAGTCCATATTACTACTCATGCAGTTTCCAATTCCTAAATATTTTCGTTCTGGCCTCCTTCCTCCATCTCCACCACTATGCTCTTCTAGATTCTATTGTGATACCTTATTTGGTTTATTTCCCTCTAGTTTTGCCTTTCTCAAGCATTGGTGCCAGAGAGATATTACTTAAAAACAAATTTGATCATGTCCAATTTCTGCTTTGAAACCTGATCTGGGGCCTCCCCGGTGGCGCAGCAGTTGAGCACTGGGTTGCGAAGCTGCCCGCGGCCTCTGCGGTGCCGGTTCGATCCCCGGCTGCTCCCCAGCCACCAGAGGAGGGTCCCACATGGCGCGCAGACCTCTCCTGCCGCCCGCTGCTCCCCTCAGCAGTGTACTTCGGTCCTTCTGCCTGCTCTGCTCCCCGCTCTGGCTCTGGTGAATTTTCTCACCCTCCCGCGCTTCTGACTGTACCCAGTGCATGTATAAACAAAAACAAACAAACAAACAAATAAATAAATAAAACATGCCTCTAGAAAAATTAAAAGAATAAAAAAAAAATTAAAAAAAAAAAAAAAAAAAGGAAAAGAAAACCTGATCTGGAGGTTTCTGCTTATTTTCTTCAAATATATCTTGTGCTACTTCCATACCTTTATCCCATTCTAGTTACAAAAAATATTTCTGCCCAGATTGTACACACACACACACACACACACTGATGGTCTAGCCAAAATCTCAAGACTGTTACCCCATTTAGAAAACTTTCCTTAAAGTGACTTCGCCTGTCCACCCTCCACAACTAAGTACTTTTCCTCTGGGTGGCCTTTATATACCTTTCTCATAGCTTTTACATTACACTGCCCAAATCTTGGTTTACTTATATAGGAGATCTTTCAAATGAAAGACTAGATCTTGTATCTCTTAATTCCATACTGCCTCCCTAGTAGAGTGCCAAGCTCCTGACTAGTTGTCTAGTGCATCTTTTTTGCATAAATAGGTTATCATGAATAAACATTATAGAACTAATAAGTAAACCAAAGATTTGAAGATGAATAATAGAACAATGCAGCTGAGACAAATAAAAAGAATCTTTAATTTAAAATGGCAGATCAAACAATGAAGAATGATGGAAATAACAGGTTCTTTTGCAAAGAGAAATAAAACTAAGAGAACAAAAAAGAAAAAAGGTAAACCATGCTACAAAAGTCTACTATTGCAATGAAACCAGATGAGAGTCAAAATACGTTGCTAGGGCCTCCCTGGTGGCGCAAGGGGTTAAGACACAACCTATGAAGCTATCTGCAGCCACTGCAGCATGAGTTCGATCCCCTGGCTGGCCAGGGAGCAACCCACATGGCGCAGCAGACCTCTCCTGTCTCACCTGCCACTCCCCTCAACAGTGTATTTCAGTCAATCTGCCTGTTCTGTTCCCCGCTCTGTCTCCGGTGAATCCTCTCACCACCCCACACCTCTGGCCTGTACCCCAGCTCTTGTATACATAAATAAATAAATCTTTAAAAAAATGATTGCTAAAAATACACAGGGTTTAAAAACCTTTTCTTCCCTTTTTAAAAATAAGTATCTTTAACCCTACTTTTAGGCATTGTGAAATGTTAAGTATTAGAGTGAATCTCTATTCTTTCTTCATGTTTCCCTGAAGAGATTCTCACTAGTCATTGGTTTTTCAGTCTAATAAAATCTATGGACTCCGTATAAGACAACATTAATATGATCAAACAAATGGAAAATAAAAATTCTGCCTTACTGAACATTAAATGGAGTCTCATGTTAGTGGTTTGTGATGGGTCATTTGCCATTTATAGCAATGAGAAATGAAGGCAGGAAAAGTATAAAAGAAAAACCCCAAATTCTTTAATGAATTCTACAGGCCCTAGCCCATTCTGCTCTACTGTACCAAACTGAGCAATTTTCTTTCCTCCCAAAAATGCCCCAATTCCTACTTCAGGCAGGTGCATATGCATACCCTCTCCAGGAATACTCTTCCTTCCTTCATTCCCTAGTTCATACCTATCACCCTTCAGTTCTTAACTATTGTACCTTTTCCTTAGACAGACTTTCTGATCTTTAAGTCAAATTCCATTTTTATATATCCTTGTAGCACCATTTACTTCTCTTTCACTTATCAAAGCTGTAATTTCATTTTTGTGTTTTTAACATCTGTCATCTCCCAGAGGCCGTGAGTGACATAAGGACTGAGTGTCCACTTTTGTTCACTACTGACATCCAATACCTATAACAATGCCTGGCACTGGGAAGATATTCAATAATTTTTGAATAAATTAACGAATAAGTAAACATCAATTCACTGTACTACAAAAAATTGTAAAAACTCCAGTTAGATTAAGAAAGTACATAGATTTTGAGTTTTCATAAAATTTTATATATTCTTAAAAATATCTACTTACTACCATTAGAAAGAACAATTCTTTATACTTAGAGCAAATAAAGTACACTTACCCTTCCATAATCATTGCAAGAGAGCCAAATAAAATAGTGTGAATCACATGAAAAATTACTTCTGGCCGTTCTCCAATTCGTCCATCTTCAAGAGTAACAGCTTCTTTCAGTGACTTACCACTACAGAAAAGGAAATATATTTTTTTTAACATTTATTTATTTATGCATACAGAGCTGGGGTATAGGCAGGAGGTGTGGGGGCGAGAAGATTCACCAGAGACAGAGTAGGAAATAGAACAGGCAGATTGACTGAAATACACTGCTGAGGGGAGCAGTGGGCAAATCAGGAGAAGTCTGCTGCACCACATGGGTTGCTCCCTGGCAGGCCAGGAGATCGAACTTGTGCTGCAGAGGCTGCGGACAGCTTCATAGGTTGTGTCTTAACCCCTTGCACCACCAGGGAGGCCAGGAAATGTATTTTTTACTAATATTTTAAAAACATGTATTTGAAAAAGTCAAAAATCTTAACTTTCTTTTCCCAAGAAGAAATTCTACTGGTTCTTAAAATGTGAAAGTATAGAGGCTTCCCTGGTGGTGCACGGTTTAGACACAGCACTATCAAGCTATTGCCAGCCACTGAAACATAAGTTCAATTGTTGGCCAGGGAGATAACCCACATGGCGAAGGAGACCTCTCCTGTCTTGCCTGCTGCTCCCCTCAGCAGTGTATTTCAGTCAGTCTGCCTGTTCTGTTCCCCACTCTGTCTCTGGTGAATCCTCTCACCACCCCCGCACCTCTGGCCTGTACCCCAGTTCTTGTATGCATAAATAAATAAATCTTTTTAAAAATAAATAAATAAATAAAATTTGAAAGAATTTTAAGTTTCTGTTTGGAGATCATTTATCACTCACTGAATGATTGCTAAATCAATATAGGTAAGTCATAATCTGAATAAGTTTTCAAAATTAAGGTATTACACACAATCTCCTTTCAAACACAAAAATATTTTAAAATAGTCAGATTTTACAATTTAGTCACACTAACTTCATTTACATTAAATAGAAGAAATTATTATAGTATGTAAAAATGTGGGTATATTCGTGAACAAGTTTAACTGATTAATTCATTTCCTACATTAAATCTAGACCTTACATAATTGAATTTTATCTAAATAACTAATATTAAAAATAATTATTTTTTATATTTCTATAGTATATTAGTTAGCAATGTAATTGATTTTCATAGGTACTTACTTATTCCTCCTAAAAATAACTTGCATCACAGAAAATAAACAAATAATTAACACTAAAATATAGAAGGGTAATAAAGAAGACTGTGTTAATCTCAAAAAAAAGTCTTGAGAGGGTGCCTGCAGGGTTTCTTGACATAGGAGCCAATTCATTGTAAAATTCCTGTAGAAGAAAAAAGCATGACATTAAAATCACAGGTCTTTTTAAAGATTTACTTATTGCATAGAAGATCTGTGGGGTATGCCAGAGATAGGGGGTGTGTGTGTGGGGAGGGGGTGTGGGGGTGTGTGTGTGTGTACACCGGAGACAGAGAGGGGAACAGAACAGGTGGATCTTCTGAAAGACACTGCTGAGGGGAGCCGGGAGAGAGACAGGAGAGGTCTGCTGCGCCATGTGGGTTAACTCCCTTGCCAGGGGTAGAACTCAGGCCATAGTGGTGACAGCACTACCCCTAGATCACCAGGGAGGCCCAAAATCATGGGTCTTTTAAACTATTAAACATAGAAGTATTTTTATCTTAGGAAAAACTAAGACAAAACAAAACACATTTCCTAAATCTATTCACCTATAACAGGAATGTCCTACCCTATCTAAATGAAGATAATAGCATTAGTAACCCTCCTTAACAAACAGCTCTAACATAAATGTAAAACAGCTCTTTTAATTATCAAGTAATATGGCCATCTCTAGAGTCCAATACAGTTTTAAGGGAATTTCACTTCTATTTTTATCTGGAAGAAAACGAAAAATTCAGCTGTCCAAACTCCACAGCTACATTGTCCAATATGAGAACTACTAATTACATGTAACTATTAGTACTTGAAAATGTGGTCAACATAAATGGAGAGAGAGTACAAAATACAGCAATATTTCAAGGATAAAACAGAATGAAAAGAGGGATTTTAAAAAAACAAACTATCTCATAATTTTTATATTCCTTATATATTAAAATAACATTTTTAAAATACTGGATTAGATGAAATACTAAAATTAAATTACTTGTTTCTTTTACTTTTTTAATGTGGCTACTAGAAAATTACATATGTGGCTCACATATTAATATTGCTCTATACTGATTATCTCAACTAGAACCCACTTAAAAAAGAAATCTATGATTAAGATATTTCAGTGGATCTGCCTGTTCTGCTCACCACTCTGTCTCTGGTGAATCATCTCACGCCCCCCATGCTTCTGACCTGCACTCTAGTTCTTCTATGCAGAGATAAATAAAATCTTTAAAAAGAAAAGTCTGGGCCTCCCTAGTGGCACAAGGGATTAAGCACTGCATTATGAAGCGATCCACAGCCTCTGCAGCACAAGTTCCATCCCCAGCCGGCCAGGGAGAAACCCACATGGCGAGGCAGACCTCTCCTGTCTCGCCTGCTGCTCCCCTCAGCAGTGTATTTCAGTCAATCTGCCTGTTCTATTCCCCACTCTGTCTCTGGTGGATCCTCTCACTCCCTGCATGTCTGACCTGTACCCCAGCTCTTGAATGCATAAAAATAAATCTTAAAAAAAAAAGTCAGCTTCTAGTCTAATCTACTCTTACAGCCTCAAGCTGAGGTTCTTTGTTCTGAAATAAATATCTAATTGTCCACCCCTTTTAGTGTCTATACTCTTTTTAATGTAAGTATTATCTTGGTTCTCCTTTTACATTGCTGATGGGAATGCAAAAACTGGTCCAACTACTATGGAAAGCTGTGTGGAGGACCCTCGAATTACTAAAAATGGACCTACCATATGACTCAGCAATTCCACTCCTAGGAATCTACCCAAAGGATACAAAAACATTAATTCAAAATGAAACCTGCATTCCTATGTTCATTGCAGCACTATTTACAATAGCTAAAATATGGAAACAACCTAAATGCCCTCAAACAGATGACTGGATCAAGAAGATGTGGTATATATGCACAACATAGTACTACTCAGCAATCAAAAAAGATAAACTTATGCCATTCATAGCAACATGGATGGAGCTAGAAGGGATTATGCTCAGTGAAATAAGTCAGAAGAAAAAAGAAAAATATCACACGGTTACACTTATAAGAGGAACATAGGGAAATCATACAAAGGAACAGGAAAAAAAAGACGAAACTAGAAGGCAAACTATAAATCAGAGACATTCAGCAGGTAAGGGGGAGGAAAAGGGATAAAAACAAAACAGGAGGGAAGAGCACAAGAGTCTATGGTAAGAGTTCACGGGTGTGTTGGTAGTGGTAATTTTAAGGGGACAACATCTGAGAGGAGGAATCAAACACTGTACAAAAATGAACAACGATGTAAAAATATACAAATAAAAATGAAAAAAAAAGATCTTGGTTCTTTACTCATTTATTCAATTTAAATCTAATTTATTCTAATCTTAGGTTGCATATTGTTTGTCATCAGGGGAGACAGTAGCCTCAAAATAATGTCATAGTTCTAGATATCATAATATACCAATTATTTTCTAAGTTGTAGGTAATTAGGTGTCTCCTCTCACCAATGATTATTTTTACTATTTTCTAAAGTGGTATAGAGTTAGGTAAACTTACATAATCTAAAACTTACTTAGTCATATTTAGTCCAAATTTTACTTCAAGGAACTTCAACATATGCCCATTTTCTTTGTGTGGGACAAACATCTAGAGGAGAAAGATGCTAGTTACAACAGAGAATTACCGGCCATGCTCAATAGTAACAACTTTTGTTCAATATTAGAAGTTAAAAACACACTGAGACTACAAAGCAAAAAAATACGAAGTGAATAATACACAGAGTGGCGAAAAGCAATGAGATTCATTAGCATACATCAAACATATTTCCTTTTACTTAAGCAAAAAACTGTAATGGTGTAATAAGAAGATTTCAGTCTTTTCCTATCTGGCTTATGTAACTTACCCATTTTTATGAACATCTTTTACTCATCTCAATTCATTCCTATATCATTTATTGTGGTAGTGTTCACATTTTCAATTAAATGTCAAAAAGGATGTATGATTTTTTTAAATATAAAGAATCCAAATCCTATTCCCTCAACTAATATACTAGGTATGATCACTGTTTAACTAAAATTTTTACTATACCGCTCTATTACCTTGTTAACGCATTTTGTTCATTAAAATTTAGTCCAGCATATTCCATTTCTAAATTTGTTCTACATAAATCTCACAGTTACTTACCTTCATTATAATATTCAATGTCACTGTCACTGTACACACCAGATAAAAATTAATCACTTTCATTATTTTGGCTACAAAAGTTCCTTTCTTCACATTCAGCTGTGTGGGGGCAGGGGGAAGAGGGGAGTAGAAATCATATGAAAAAATAAGTTATAAAAAATTTTAAGTTAAAAACTTTACCATAAAAATGATAAAAAGGCAACTCTAATTACCTGAAGGCACTTAGCAAACATTAAAGCGACTACTAAACTTAATAAAGGAGACACCAATAAAGCTGAATTCTCAAATTGCAGTAAATATCCCAGAAAGAGAGAGAATATATAGATTTTATAAACTTCATGAACCTGTCGGGACAAAAGAAACATGTGTGAGAACAAAATGCTTTACTGTACATGTGTTCAATAGTTTGCTTACAATTACAAAGTAAAATTCTCTACTATAATTTAGGACAGCACTGTGCAAATGTTCGACCTGTACTTTTAATGGTATGGCATATAGGGAATTTATCACTTTTTTCTTAGAAACAACTTCACAAACAAAACAAAAATCTTTAAACTATAGTCATCTAATCAGACTGGAAGAAGCTTCTTTGGTTCTCAGCTATGTACTAATTTCACTTGGTTTACCTTGTTATTAAAATCCATCAAAGCAACATCAAGGATCATAAATCAAAAACAATCTTTCACATCATTACCCAAAACCTAGCTAGTAAAAATGTGGTTCCTTAACCAGCAACCAGGGAAAAGAAATTCTGTATGCGGGCCTCCCTGGTGGCACAAGGGGTTAAGATGAAACCTATGAAACTATCCACAGCCACTACAGCATGAGTTTGATCCCCAGCCAAGGAGCATCCCACATGGCACAGCAGACCTCTCCTGACTCTTCCGCTGCTCCCCTCAGCAGTGTATTTCAGTATATCTGCCTGTTCTGTTCCCCACTCTGTCTCTGTTGAATCCTCTCACCCCCCACACCTCTGGCCTGCACCCCAGTTCTTGTATGCATAAATAAATAATAAATCTTTAAAAAATAAAAAAAGAAATTCTGTATGTGGCCCATGAATAATGGCAATAAGAAAGTTAAAAATCAATGTCCTAATGGATCTCTAGGGAAATTACAAGTCTGAATAGATTTATTTTCTGAAATTCAGTAATGTAATAATATAATTCTATTATGAAATTACTTTTAGAAAGGAAAAACTAAGACCAAAATACAGGCATTATGGGGTTGGGGGAATCAAACGGCAGAGTATTAAAAGTAAAAAACAGACAGAAAAACTCTCTAAGAGGACAGAGGCATTTAACAAAATGGTACCTCACAATTGAGAGGCTAGAGCAATGTCTAGAGAAGGCACAACAGGACTTTCTGGGTGCTGATAAAGTTCTATTTCTTGATCTTGGGTGCTGGTTCTACAGCTGTGTGCCAGCTGTAGAGTAACTGTGTCTTAGCTCCACCGTTAGCCCACTACTATATCCCCTGCCTCAGAATGCTGAGGTTGAGTCTCTGTAACCTACATTTTTGGCTTTTCCTCTTGGTCTGCTATCAACCTCGACTAAAATAAAATGCAACAGATCACAAAGTTGGAGGGGAAGAGAGGAGTTTGTTCCTTTCTGTGCATCCTGTCTACTTGCTTCCTGTGAATACCACCAGAGCAATGCTTCTTCACTCTAACAGAGCAATTCCTTTCTGTGAAGCAGCTGAACACAACTAGTTTTCCCAATCCTGAAGAACTTGCCCCAGAGACCCCAGGACGAGCTGGACACTACTTTCCAGTTCAAAGACATTAGCAAAGTGGAACGGTGACCAAGCCTTAGAAATATGAGTTTCAGCTCCATGGAGCTCCTCTTCTAAGTTTCAAAGTTTTAATAATTTCAAATTCTTTCCTTTTTTCCCTTGACTCTAGGGTGGTGGTTTCTTCCTACAGTTGCTACCTCTATGATAGTTTCAGGTTATTAACCTTTTGATCAAGTTAATAACTTTATACTTGACTAACAATTCTTTGTTAAATTCTATATTCAAATAACATAAATGGTGTTATCATCAGGATTGGCCATCTGAGTATATGAGATGAAGGTAAGAAAGAAAAGAGTAAGGGGCCTCCCTGGTGGCACAAGGGGTTAAGTCTCAGCACTTATAAAGCCGTCCATAGCCATTGCAGCATGAGTTAGATCCTCCACCAGGAAGCTAGCCTACATGGTGCTACAGACCTCTCCTATCTCACCTGCTGCTCCCTTCAGCAGTGTATTTCAGTCAATTCACCTATTCTGTTCCCCACTCTGTCTCTAGTGAATCCTCTCACCCCCTGCACCTATGGCCTGTGCCCCAGTTCTTGTATGTATAAATAAACAAATCTTTAAAAAAAAAAAAAAGAGTAAGATACCGACATTTCCAGTTGGACAACATATTGAATACTTAATAAATGTTTATAAATAAAGAAAAGAAAGGTAAGAGTTAAAAAAGGGGGAAAAGATAAATAAACAAAGGAATCAAATGCTGACGGGAACCTTTAACTACTACTGGTGGGAATATAAACTAACATAACCACTCTGTAGAAAGAATATGCACATCATCTTTTGACTTGTAATTTCACCATGAAGTGTATACACTAGAGAAATCAGTGCATTTATGTACCAGGTGACATGTATAAGAATGCTTATAGCAGCACTGGTTATATGAACAACGGACTGGAAAAATATGAAATGTACCTCAACAGAATGTATAAATAAATAAAAATGAAAGAAATATAGCTTAGTCTATTACCATGAATGAATCAAAGCAAATCTGACCAAAGTAAATAAGACATTATTTACAACACATTTTTTAGGAATAATACATAGATAAGTGGTAAAAACCACAAAGGAAAAGAAAAAAGAGATTTGAAAATTCAGGGCAGTTAACTTCTGTTGGGGAGAAGCAGGATGTGACTGGGGACGGATGGTAAAGGGGCTTCTAGGATTATTCAAATGCTCCATTCCTTGGCCTGGGTGGTCAACTACTTACATTCTATACACTGTACATACAGCATAAATATAGCCTTATGTACATGTTCTACAGCTCAACTTTTTTTATAAAGAAACAGGGAAAGAGGAGAAATGGCTAGGAATGGAGAGGAAGCACAAGGTAGCTTTGGTTAATCAGACTGTATTTAAGGCAATTTCAAGTGCTTCTAAAATGATTAGGAGAAAATGAGTTCAGCAAACTTTTTGAGTAGAAGAATAAATCAGAGGCTATTGAAACACTTCAAAATAAAGCATAAAACTTAAATGGTTTTAAGATATAATATAAAAACATTTATTCTCTGCATTTAAAAATCACAATTTTAATAGCCTCCCTGGTGGCGCAAGGGGTTAAGATGAAACTTATGAAGCTAGCGGCAGTCTCTACAGCACGAGTTCGATCCCTGGCTGGCCAGGGAGAAAACCCACATGGCGCAGCAGACCTCTCCTGACTCACCCGCTGCTCCCCTCAGCAGTGTACTGCAGTCAATCTATCTGTTCTGTTTCCCACTCTGTCTCTGGTGAATCCTCTCCCCCCTGTCCCACAACTCTGGCCTGTACCCCATTTCTTACATGCATAAATAAATAAATCTTAAAGAAAAAAAATCACAATTTAAAAATGCCATAATACCTTGTCACTTTGCTCCAGTGAAAGACTATCTAGTAAGAACAGAGATATTGCTTGGAGAAACAAGAGATAGTGGCTGTACTCCCATATCATCATAAAGGTGTAAGTTGAAGCACTCATCAACAAGTAGCAAAACCTCTAGGGAAAACAAAAGAAAGAAACTAAATATCAATAGTTTTGTTACTATGAAACTATGAAGCTATTATCTCAAAGTTAATAGTTATTGTTTCAACTTTATATAATCCTCTAAATTGTTTTCAAATCACATATTACATAGTAAATTGTTACATAAACAACTAGAGCTTAAATAATGCACCTGAGAGGGAAATCAACCAGTTGTCCTTCAACATTCAGTATCATATTGACAATTTTAGGAAGTTAGAGAAAAAAAATAGTACAATTTTCATTCATCCCCAAAAAAGTAAAGTAATAAAGACAAGAAAATGGTGGCTTTTATTAGATTTGGCTGGTGTACTTTTGTTATTGTGAAACCCATTTCACATTAGAATTATTTTTACTTCCGCGGCACTTCATATTTCCTAAGATCTTCCAGTCAGCATACTTTGCAGGTGATTCCACAGTCCATGGGAAAACATTCAGAGCTTCTTTCATTTCCTCTCAGCAAAAGTGTGGCCTTATCTTTTCCAATGCTTGTACTATCAACCATATAAAACTCTTAGCTGTTTTCCTTTTGTAAGTAATAAAATAAGGATTTCACTTCCCTTATCTAAAAAATACCTGGCTAAAATGAATTCTGTCCTTCTAAATGTCATCTCCTAAGGAATCCTTTAGTGAGAACTCAAATATCTTAACACTGTCTCTTAGCATGCTTTTTTTTAGTATTTATTTATGCATACACAAACTGGGGTATAGGCCAGAGTTGGGGGGTGAAAGGATTTACCAGAGACAGAGTGAGGAAACAGAACAGTGGCCTGGGGATTGAATTCATGTCACAGTGGCTGGTGATAGCTTGATAGCCCTGAGACAATAATCCTTGTGCCACCAGGGAGGCCCCTCTCTTAGCATATTTCTAACAACCGTCTCTGCTTCTTCCAGGGTTCTACTATTTTATTCCCAATTCCTCTATCAGCCACGATATCATATGACTTTTTTTCTGAGAAATTAAGGAGGACAGTAAGAGTCAAGTCAAGAAATCTAAGATAAGATCTGTCTTTAAAACTAAATCTTTCAGGGCCTCCCCTGGTGGTGCAGGCAGTTGAGCGCAGTCCCACATGATGCAGCAGACCTCTCCTGCTGCTCCCCTCAGCAGTGTATTTCATCAGTCTGCCTGTTCTGTTCCTCGCTCAGTCTCTAGTGAATTCTCTCACCCTCCCGCACATCTGGCCTATACCCCAGTTCTTGTATAAATAAATAAATTTTAAAAAAAACAACAACTAAATATTTCAAATTCAGCTGATTATATTCAGTGATAAACTGTAGAGTCAGAAATAACACAGATAGCTCACAGATATAAAAAAATTAACACTGGAGAACAAAATGCAAGAGATTGGAAAACTACCAGTTGATCAAAAAATATCAATTGCAAAGCCCAGAAAGGATTTTTACTGACAGAACATATAAGCTTCTGTGTGGTTAGAAAAACACATGCTGGGCCTCCCTGGTGGCGCAAGGAGTTAAGACGCAACCGATGAAGCTGTCCACAGCCTCTGCAGCACAAGTTCGATCCCTGGCCAGCTAGGGAGCTACCCACATGGCACAGCATACCTCTCCTGACCTGCCTGCTGCTCCCCTCAGCAGTATACTTTGGTCAGTCTGCCTGTCCTGTTCCCCACTCTGTCTCTGGTGAATCCTCTCACCCCCCACACTTCTGGCCTGTACCCCAGCTCTTGTATGCATAAATAAATAAATAAATCTTTAAAAAAAAATACACATGCTGCTGGATTACTACTCCACAAGAAAAGGAGCAAACTACTGACACATGGAAACAACTGAAATGTATGTCAAGGGCACTAGGCTAAGCGAAAAAATTCAAAATCAACATATACCATGATTCCATTAATAAAAAACTTTCAAAGTGACAAAATTAAAGTGATAGAGAACGGATGAGTAGTTTTCAGAGGTTAGGGCTTGAGGAAATGTGTGACTATTAAGTGGTAACAAGAGGGAGATCTTTGGAGTGATAGTACGGTTCTGTATCTTGAATACAGTGATGGTTACCCAAATGCTCACATGTAATAAAAACTATACATCCCTCCTCAAAAAAAAAGTGCATATGAAAAACTTAGAATACATACTTAAATTTACAAATTTTAAAATTTGAAATAATTTGATTCACAAGAAACTATAAAAACAGTGTATGTCATTCCTATGTATCCCCTTACCCAGCTTTCCCCAATAATATTTTACATGACTATAATATATTATCAAAACCAGGAAACTGACCTTGATACAATACTATTAATTCAAGTACAGACCTTTAGATTTCAATACATGTGTGCACACACAAAGGGGGGGCTTTGAAGAGGGAAAACATGATAGAAGGGTTGGGCAGTTTGCTTTTTAAAAATTGTTACATTAAAGGGTTAAGAATACACCATAGGGGGCTTCCCCTGCAGCCCCTGCAGCTCCCAGGCCCAGTTGGTTCCCCAGCTGTTCTCCAGGGTCCCACAAAAAAAAAAAAAAAAAGAATACACCATAGGCCTCCCTGGTGGCGTAGGGGTTCATTCTCAGCACTATTATGGTGTTAGCGTTGTAGATGCCTGGCCAGGGAGCTACCCACATGGCACAGCAGAGCTCTCCTGTCTCACCTGCTGCTCCTCTCAGCACTGTAATTCAGCAGATCTGCCTATTCTGCTCCCCACTCTATCTCTGGTGAATCCTCTCAACCCCCCCTGCCCCCGCACCTCTGGCCTACACCCCAGCTCTTGTATGTATAAATAAAATAAATCTTTTTTTTTTTTTTTTTTTTTTTTGGTGGGACCCTCGCCAGCGGTCGGGGAATGAACTGTAGCCTTGCAGCCCAGCGCTCAACCACAGCGCCACCAGGGGAGGCCCTAAATAAAATAAATCTTAAAAAAAAAAAGAAAATCACTTTAATTCATAAACAGTAACATCACAAAAGCTGGTTTAAGCAAGCTACACAAACATCTGACAGTCCCAAACTCAGTATTTCAGTGAACTTTATACAATCACAACACCCTCTTCCACTGCAAATCTGAAGAGGAAGCTATTAAGGATAGAAGAGAGATTTAAATGATGGCTTTACACTTTGTATTTCACTAACACTTATATTTTTATGATAAATTAACTTGATCATTAGGGGTGATTTTCTATGTCTTCAATTTAAACTTCTTTTTTTAAAAATTTTGTACAATTCAAACTTCTTGATTAGTCTAATGAATTGGCACATTTACACTGTTTCAGCACCTCGCTGAAACTATCACAAAACTTAAGGTTACTGTCATTCTGGACACATTCCAAAAATGATTCATGTCACAGGGGCAGGGGTCAAACTGCTGCTGCTGCTGTTATGTTGGCTGGCTACCCTGAGGTTCCTGGTAAGTGATGCCAGACTGAGTGAGGGCTTAGCATTTCTTTCTCCACTGAGGCCCCCAAGTGATGGCATGACCTATTCATGTGCCAACAGCAGAGTCCACAGATAGTCCAGTTGCAGTGGCTGCCGTTTGGGCTATCAGGCCTGGCTTATAGCACCGGCAGGACAGCCAACAGCAGATTATGGAGGCTGGTTGCAGCTCTCACCTGAGGTGCCCTGTTGGCCTGAAGGGCCAGGGGAGTAGCTTTTGCTTCCACGAGGTATCACAACTGTGGGGTGGCTCCAGGAGAAGTACCAAACTCAGAGGATACCCAAGCAACTTCTGACCAAATAGGAATTCTTAACCCATGACAGACAGACTGCCAAAGGATTTCTACATTTCCCTCAATTTCAGTATAATTGGTTGCCTTTATAATCATATTTATTTTATGCATTTCAAATCATTTTGAGACAGAGTCCGAAGGCTTCATCTAATTGACAAAAGAATATAAGGCAAGGTAACAACAATAAAAGAATCTAAAGTATCTGGAACAGTTTCCTGACATTCACTATCCTCTCTATACCTCACTTACAGAAAACATATGATAAACAGAAATAGTGCTACCATTTGTAGTCACATCATTAATATGACTTTAATTTATGGTAACTAATGGTCATAAATGTTCCAGATATGAGAATGTAATAAAACAGCTGACAGATTAATATCCAAAATAAGACATTCTTCATGTATTTGTTGAGTAATTCCATTAAAACATGCCTGCATATAATTTAGTTCTCTCATAGCTAAGTGGCACACTATAGCATATTACTTTCTAAGTTAGTAAGTTACATTTCCAATTACAGATAAGCACTGGGTTATTTGCAAAAAATCAAAATTACAAATAGTAAAACCACACAGGCCAAGAAGCTATAGGTACAAAATCAAATTAACCTCCTTTAACTTAATAATAATTTACTATTGATCAAATTAGAGAATAACAGTGTATAACATGACTACATAACTGTATCCTTTATCAAATAATAACTAAGCCTTCACAGACTGTAACTCTTATATGATTACCTTTAAAACTAGTACCACATATGAAATACATCAAAGTTAACTGTGATGAATAAAACAGATTTGCATCTTACCTCTCCGTAAGTATTCATGTTGCTTTTTAAATATCCTGTAAGGGCAGCAACTTGGCATGCAAAATATGGCAGTGCCCAGTTTTCTCTTAAAGGAATAGAATATTCAATTCTTGTTGTATCTACCCTAAAATAAACCACAGTTGAATAGCAAAATAGCAACATAGTATATTTGTGTAACACCATTGTCTTCAAAGCAGTTTCACACACATCTGATTGTTCTCCATACAATCCTGTGAGGTGGTAACAGATAATCACACTGGTTATACAATACAAGATCTTTAACCACATTAATTAGTGTCTTACCCTAAGACTCTCTTATCTTCCACCCAGGAAGACCATGCATGTTGCTTAGCCAACAGATGGGCATCTGTGAGAATTTGAAAAAGGCATCCCTGCTTTGGGCAGATTCGCCATGATAAGGCACACAGCGTATTGCAAATTACACTGGATTTCAGCTTCCACCCTCCTTTCCCTAAAACAGATGCCAAATTTTCTCTAGAGCACTATATTATAGCACATAGGCAGATCCAGGCAGACTTAATGAAGGTCACACAATTAGGAGGTGGTACAATTAGGATTACAGTGCATATCTTTTGATATCCAGTGTTATAATCTTTTCAGTAGCAGGTTGCCCAGAACTAACATTACAACAGTCCTTTATGTGATATATTTAGAGACTTGTGAAAATTCTGAGAATCACATTTGCAGGTCTTTGTAGGTTCCTCCTAAATTCTCCCCCAATCAATTTTCATTGAAAGCCTGCTGTTTCCTGAATGTATCTTCACCTGACAGGGGACTATCAGTCCAACAATCATTAAACTTGGATTTCATACACTCACCAGCTATTTTCCACACAAAAACAAAGGCACCATTGCTTTAAAATACTTATGAATATTGCTGTATAACTTTCCTAATAGAGATGAACATGCTTGCATATAATTTAGTTCTCTCATAGCTAAGCGGCACATGTAGCGTACTACTTTCCAAGTTAGTAAGTTATATTTCCAATTGCAGATAAGCACTGAGTTATTTGCAAAAAATCAAAATTACAAATAGTAAATCCAAACAGGCCAAAGACACTATAGGTACAAACTCAATAAATCTGATATATCTAAGCATATCACAAAGAAACAGAGTTCAAAAAACAATGAAAGTCAATAATAAAATATTTTTAAGAAAGAAATTAAGGAGAAATCACATGATACAAAACACATAATAAATGCAAAAATCTTCTTTACTTACTTTTCCCTTAACCTCATATTTCTAAGTAATAACTTTCTCTTTCTATTCCTACCCCAATTACTATCTCATTCATACCTTCTCTCCTCCCAACCAGACCTTGTCCTTTTTTTCAGAGTAGAACAATGCCCATTCTTATGTCAAGTCATCAACACATCTCCCATGGACTTCTTCAAATTATATTTGTTGCCAACATGGGACTCTAAATATAAACGAAGTCCAACAGGAGATATCGTTCTTAATGTTGAATCTCAACAACTTGAAAGTATATTTTTTTCATTTGGCAATTGCCAAAAGAAAGTGTGAAACTGGGGTCTCCCTGGTGGCACAAGGGTTAAGTCTCAGCACTACCAAGCTATCGCCAGCCACTACAGCACAAGTTTAATCCCTGGCCAGGGAGCTAACCCACATGGAGGAGCAGAATACTCTTGTCTCACTCACTGATCCCCTCAACAGTGTATTTCAGTCAGTCTACTTATTCTGCTCCCAACTCTGTCTCTGGTGAATCCTCTCATGTCCCCCTGCACCCTGCACCTCTGGCCTACACCCCAGCTCTTGTATGCATAAATAAATAAAATAAATCTTTTTTTTAAAAATGTGAAACTGAATAACTGTTTTGTTAAAAAAAAAATCTCAAGTGTCATGAGGAATAAAAATGCTAGGGAGGGGAATGTCCATCATTCCAAAAATAAATTTTTGACATTAACCAATGCCAAGAATATTACTATGACATGTCAATGGTTAACCCTCCATTTCAAAGAAGCATAATATCCTATTCTCTTATTACACACTATTAAAGAAATTAAGTTACTTGATCACCATAAGCAATGGGTTTATTATTTTAAAGCACATGGTCCTAGGTTAATGTAGCATTCTTATCTGTGATTATTAATTTAATAGTGATGTATCTATCTGTTGCCTCTTCTTTCCATGAAACTATCTGTCATCAATAGCAAAAAAAAAAAAAGAGGAAAGAGGTATACCCATAGATGCCAATTTTTCAACTGTTGCATGTAATAAATATAATCTTTAAAAAAAAATAATAAATAAAGGGCATCCCTGGTGGTGCAGGAGTTAAAGTCTCAGTGCTATCAAGCTATCACCAGCCACTGTGGCATGAGTTCCATCCCCGGCCAGGGAACTAACTCACATATGGCGCAGCAGACCTCTCCTGTCTCGCCCACTGCGCCCCTCAGCAGTGTATTTCAGTAGATCTGCCTGTTCTGATCTTCACTCTGTATCTGGTGAATCCTCTCATCCCTGCACCTCTGGCCTACAATCTTAGTTCTTTTTTTTTTTTTTTAAAGATTTATTTATTTATTTATACAAGCATTGGGTACAGTCAGAAGCGCGGGAGGGTGAGAGAATTCACCAGAGCCAGAGCGGGGAGCAGAGCAGGCAGAAGGACCGAAGTACACTGCTGAGGGGAGCAGCGGGCGGCAGGAGAGGTCTGCGCGCCATGTGGGACCCTCCTCTGGTGGCCGGGGAGCAGCTGGGAATCGAACCGGCGCTGCAGAGGCTGCTCAACTGCTGGGCCACCGGGGAGGCCCTATCTTAGTTCTTATATGCATAAATAAAAATAAATCTGAAATAATAAATAAATAATCTGGAAAAAAAAATAAATACAGTAAGTGGCTAAGAACAACACAAATTTATTAGCTCACAAGCCCACCATGGTATGGATAGATTCTCTGCTCCGGGTCTCCCTTAGCTAAAATTCAAAGTATCAGTCAAGGCTATGGTTCTCACCCAAGGCTTGTAGTTCTTTTACAAACTCACTAATTGTTGTCAGAATTAATTTCCTCTCATTTCAATCCAGTCACAGCTTCAGCAAATCCTTCCCATGCTTTTAATATCTCTAACTTCCCCTTCTGTACCAGTTGGAGGAAGCTCTACACTTTTAAAGGATCATAAATTAGATTACACCCACTGAAATCTTCCTACCTTAAGGTCAATTATGCCATACAACATATTCACAGGAATGATGTATCATAATATTGACAGATTCTAGAGGTCACAACATGAATTGGGGGTGTGGGTAGTGGGGTGGTCATTTTTAGAACGGACTTCCATAGCCACAAGAAATTGTAAAACCTAATTTGAAACACCTTCTTACCTGTTTATAATGAACCATGCAACAGTAAGCATTCCTGCTAGCCAGGTTCCACTCATAAGCCAACTTGTAACAAATAAAGCAGTAACATATATTCCTTGCAATCCAAAAACAATGCCAATATAAAAATATACTGGCTCAATAATCTCCTAATTGGGAAAAAAAAGAGGAGATAATAGGATGACAATAAATAATTTTGAGGATTCACAAATACATGAGAAAATAAATATTAAAGTCAAAAGAAAAACACATACATTGCTACCAGTTGCTTGATATAAAACGCTTGCAATAAGTTCTGGATATAGAGACATTAGCTGCACTGCATTTATAGTCTTCAGAGATATGGTTTTATTATTGTGAGTCAATTCGTAAACACCTAAAGACAAAAATTTTTCTCCAGGTTATTTATTCTGTCTTTACAATTATTAAACATGTCATTCAAAAGTCACTAAATATTTTAAATCAAGATGTGGTATATATACACAATGGACTACTGCGCAGCTATAAAAAAGAAACTCTTGCCTTCTGTGACAACATGGGTGGAACTGGAAGGAATTATACTAAGCAAAATAAGTCAGAACAAGAAAGATAAATACCAGATAATGTCATTTATATGTGGACTATAGAGAAACCAAAGAAAGAGTCACATAAAGCCAAACCAGTGACAAATGTAGAAATCTGACTATAGAGGGCTACCAGAGGGAGACATGCAGGGGAAGAATATAAATTGGGAAGGGAGCACAATGGACTATGGTGGAGGATTATGGGTGTTTTGGTATTGGGTGTAGTGTGGTAACAACACCTGAAGGGGGAGATCTTACACCTCGAAATCACAAACATTGAAAACCAATGTTACCAATGTCTTTTTAATAAAAATTAAAAAATAAAACAATTTTCCTTCCTTCAAATAATATGATTTTAATTATCAAGAAAGATTCCAAAATATAGGTAGTACTCTGTGCCTCATTTTTCCAATTCTTAAATTAAGTAAAAAAAAGCAATACCTATAATTCTGAGACAAATATCCACATTCAAGAATTCCACATAGAAGAACAGTATTTTTTTTAGAAAAATAGTTCTTAAGAAAACAAATGCAGTTATCATACCTCTTTCAAATGAAGGTGCCTTTAACATATCTTTATAATAAGAGTAATAAATGGCACTGTCGCCTTGAAATGTGATTTCCCTTTCAAGTTCCTAAAAGAAAATGAAATTATTTGAATACAAATATCCTAAATTTCAACTGCAATTTTCTTTTAAATTAATGCTATTTATTTATCCTTTTATTCGAAGACATGTCTGAATTTTCCTTTAATCACTAGTGCCATATTAATGACAGTAAACTTTTCAATAAGCTGGTAATCATTTCCATGAAATATGTAAGGTTTAAAATGGGGGCCTCCCTGGTGGCACAAGGGGTTAAGCACTGCACTGTGAAGCAATCCAAAGCCTCTGCAGCACGAGTTTGATCCCTAGCTGGCCAAGGAGAAACCCACACGGCGCAGCAGACCTCTCCTGGCTCGCCTGCTGCTCCCCCTCAGCAGTGTATTTCAGTCAATCTGCCTGTTCTGCTCCCCGCTCTCTCTGGTGAATTCTCGCACACTCCCATGCCTCTGACCTCTACCCCAGTCCTTGTATGCATAAATAAATAAATCTTAAAAAAAATAAAATAAAATGGACTGCAACTCATACGTCATTTACATGTTATATATAAAGAAAATCTAGAGGGAAAACCAAAAGAAATGCCCTAAGGACAACAAGAATAAGTTAGGTAATGAAAAATGATAGTTGAAGAGTTAAAAATACACAGTAAAAAGATAACATTAAGAAGTATTATTTTTTAGGGCCTCCCCGGTGGCGCAGTGGTTGAGCGCTGGATTGCGAAGCTGCCCGCAGCCTCTGCAGCGCCGGTTCGATCCCCGGCTGCTTCCCAGCCACCAGAGGAGGGTCCCACATGGCACGCAGACCTCTCCTGCCGCCCACTGCTCCCCTCAGCAGTGTACTTCGGTCCTTCTGCCTGCTCTGCTCCCTGTTCTGGCTCTGGTGAATTCTCTCACCCTCCCATGCTTCTGACTGTACCCACTGCTTGTATAAATAAATAAAAATAAATCTAATAAATAAATAAATAAATAAATCTTTAAAAAAAAAAAAAAAAGTATTATTTTTTATTGTTCTTCTACTTCCCCATGTATCCATAATAGCAAAACCTTAAGTTAGTACTTTTTAAGAGTAGCAGACACCTAATAGTGCCTTTCAAATAAACTTCCAGGAATATAAGCAAGTCTTAAAATTCCTAAAATTAGGTTATACAGAAGAAAATAATTTGTCACATTAGAAAACCTACAGCTTTCCATGACTCAAATTTTCATAAATCTATAATCTTTTAAAATGAAACTTATTTTCAGGCCTCCCTGGTGGTGCAAGGAGTTAAGTCTCAGCACTATAAAGCTATCAGCAGCCACTGCAACATGAGTTCAATCCCCAGCCAGGGAGGTGACCCACATGGCGCAGTAGACCTCTCCTGTCTCGCCCACTGCTCCCCTCAGCAGTGTATCTCAGTAGATTCGCCTGTTCTGCTCCCCATTCTGTCTCTGGTGAATCTGCTCACCGCCCCCTGCCCTGCCACCTCTGGCCTGCTCTTGTATGCATAAATAAATCTTTGGAGAAAAAATGAAACTTATTTTCATATATATTTATCTATGAACACAAAAACATACCAGAGTAGTTTCTCCAAAGTTTGTAAACTCCTAATCAGTGCTTCTCAAATTTAATGTGCCTATGAAACTCCTAGAGATCAGAATAAGTTCCCAGGTGATGACAATTATTCTGGCTTATACACAGCACTTCAAAAAACAAGATTCTTGGCGAATATCTTGTATATTTTTAGACCTCCGGTTATTCTTAATTCTGCCAACACAACAGGATTGTCTGGAAATACTCTGTGAATTACTGTTTCCAGACACTCCAAACCCGCCCCAAGAATCTGTGAGGGAGGTTATTTTTTGAATTCTTCCTAGATTAATCTACTGTATATTCACTGTTGGGAACTACTAATAGTTAATCTGTATAACAATTTCAAGGAAATAGCATATGTTATAGTAATAGGTTTTGCCAAATCCATACAAGTGTAGTAATTATTCTGCAAAATGTTTTGGAGCTCTTAGGTAAATCAATGGCTTAAAAACATTTAGAAATCTTGACTACTTATTGCCCAAAAATAAGTTCAACAAAATAGTTTAGGCTAAAGGAAAAACACCACCATATAGTCAAGTGGTAACACTGTGAATTGTGCCAATGCACACTCCTGATGTATCTAATTGTGAAGTTTGAAAACAAATTTATTCAAAGGCCATATTATGAATTATAACTATGGTGACTAAAGAGCCTGTGAAATATATGTTTTAAAAATAAGCATAGGGCCTTCCCTGGTGGTGCAGTGGTTGAGCGCTGGGCTGCGAAGCTGCCCACAGCCTCTGCAGGACCGGTTCGATCCCCGGCCACCAGCGAGGGTCCCACATGGTGCGACAGACCTCTCCTGTCTCGCCCGCTGCTCCCCTCAGCAGTGTATTTCATCAGTCTGCCTGCTCTGCTCCCCGCTCTGGCTCTGGTGAATTCTCTCACCCTCCCGCATTTCTGACTGTACCCAATGCTTATATAAATAGATAAATAAAAATCTTCTAATAAATAAATAAATAAATAAAAATAAGCATTAACTATGTGGTAAGCATGTATGAGGCAACATCTTAGTAAATAATTCTACATTATGCCTGTTAATCATTTTTTCAAAACAGTCCAATTGTATAATGGATAATTAAAATATTTTAATGTTAAAACTAAGTTTTCCCTGAAATGTAAATTATCATAACTACTAAAAAGTGACTAAACTCTACAGCATTTCATTGATAAATTAACTGTATGAAGGGGACGTCCCTGGTGGTGCAGGGGTTAAAGTCTCAGTGCTATCAAGCTATCACCACCCACTTCAGCATGTGTCTGATCCCTGACCAGCGAGCTAACACACATGGCACAACAGACCTCTCATGTCTTGCCCACTGCTCCCCTCAGCAGTGTATTTCAGTAGAACCACCTGTTCTGCTCCCCACTCTGTCTTTGGTAAATCCTCTCACTTCCCTCCTGCCCCCAGCACCTCTGGCCTACACCCCAGTTCTTGTATGCAAAAATAAATATTTAAAAAATAATAATAAAAAATTAAAGCACCCTCATAGTTTCTGTTCTTACCCTGAAATACATTCTATTAAATTTCTCAAGGTTAGTATTATGACTGTGTTCTCAAAGTAACTTTCATACTATTTTCTTTATAATGAGTGTAAATAAGAAAGCACTCATCATATTTATTACACACATATGTTTCCTCGTAAAACACAATATTTAATATTAAATACAACAACTTCCATATGCTCAAAATTCTTTCTTCTTACCTGCCTGCTGGAAAACCAGAATTTCCGTTCATGGTATGCTGATAAGTAGAGAGCATACATCATTCCACTAGTAACTGCTGCAAGACAGCCAATGAAAATCTTTGCAAAGCGCTGAAATAATACATCTGTAAAAGCATATTAAAAGTAATCAAAAGGAGGGCCTCCCTGGTGGCTTAGGGGTTAAGTCTCACCTATCACCACTAAGGCCGGGGTTTGATCCCTGGCCAGGGAGCTAACCCACATATGGAGCAGACCTCTCCTATCTCGCCTGCTGCTCCCTTCAGCAGTGTATTTCGGTAGATCCACCTGCTCTGCTCCCCACTCTGTCTCTGGTGAATCTTCTCCCACCCACCCCCAAATTTCTGGACTGTACCCCAGTTCTTCTATGTATAAATAACAAATCTTTTTTTAAAGATTTATTTATTTATTTATTTATCTATTTATTTATTTATTTATTTGTTTGTTTGTTTATGCAAGCACTGGGTACAGTCAGAAGCACGGGAGGGTGAGAGAATTCACCAGAGCCAGCACGGGGAGCAGAGCAGGCAGAAGGACCAAAGTACACTGCTGAGGGGAGCAGCGGGCGGCAGGAGAAGTCTGCGCGCCATGTGGGACCCTCCTCTGGTGGCCGGGGAGCAGCCAGGGATGGAATCGGCGCTGCAGAGGCTGCGGGCAGCTTTGCAACCCAGCGCTCAACTGCTGCGCCACCGGGGAGGCCCAATAACAAATCTTTTTTTAAAAAGTAATCAAGAGGGAGTATGTACCCTTAATATATGATGAAAATGGGATTCTAACACTGTTCTTCCTCCCCAAAATTCATAATACCAGTCCACTAATAAGAAAAACAGCAAATTCTAATAGAGGGCATCCAACACTGTAAATGACCAGTATGCTTTACAATTGTCAGTCATTAAAAAAAGGAAAGCCTGAGAAACCATCACAGCCTAAGGAGACATGACGCAAATGTAATGTGGTAATTTGGATTGGATCTTGGAATAGAAAAAAGACATTAGGTAAAAACTAAAGAAATATGAATATAATAGGGATTTAGTTGATAAAAATGTGTCAATCTTGGTTCATTAGGTGTAAAAAAAATACCATACTAATAGGTTAATAAAATATGGAAAATTCAAGTGTATGGAAACTCTGTATTATCTGTTCAACTCTTCTGCAATCTGAAATGGTTTTAAAAATTAATGTGGGGCCTCCCTGGTGGCGTAAGAGGTTAAGACACAATCTATGAAGCTGTCTGCAGCTATTGCAGAACATTTCGATTTTGATCCCCGGCCAGGGAGCGACCCACATTGCATAGCAGACCTCTCCTGACTCGCCCGCTCCTTCCCTCAGCAGTGTATTTCAGTTAATCTGCCTGCTCTGCTCCCCACTCTGTCTCTGGTGAATCCTCTCACCACCCCCCACACCTCTGGCCTACACTCCAGTTCTTGTATGCATAAATAAATAAATCTTTTTAAAATTTAAAAAAAATAAAAGCTAATGTGTATCATAGAGAAAGGGAAATAAAAGGAATGTACTATCAAATATCTCAAGAAAGAATTACATTATTTAGAATTACTATTGATATTTTCTCCTTTTCAAGGAACTTTTTTTCATTTCTTTATTACGGAATAATTTATATACTATAAACTGTAGTCATATAGATTGTGTAAGTCAATGACTTGGTGATTATGTTTTTAAAACATTATATACCGGCCTCCCCGGTGGCTCAGCGGGTTGAGCACTGCTCTGTGAGGCTGTCTGCAGCCTCTGCACTGCGGGTTCGATTCCCGGCCTGCCAGGGAGAAACCCACATGGCTGGACAGATCTCTCCTGCCTCGCCCGCTGCTCCCCTCAGCGGTGTCTTCAGTCAGTCTGCCTATTCTGCTCCCCGCTCTGTCTCAGGTGAATTCTCTCACCCTCCCGCACCTCTGGTCTGTACCCCAGTTCTTGTGTAAATAAATCAATCTTTAAAAAAAAAACACATTATATACAACTGCTATATGTTAACTACTTCTTGGTGAAATAACTTAAAACTCATATGAATACTCAACAAATGGGATAATTTAGTCCTGCTACAGCCACTAAGAATAAGCATAGACATAAATCCTCAAAATCCAGTGTTCTGTTACTGAATGACTGACAGGTTTTTAAAAATTCTTGTTAAAAAAATTTATAAAGGGCAATCGCAGTAACATATTTAAAGACTCATCACTCAAAGCAAAGATAGTCAAGGAAAAGATAAACACCTGGGATTACATCAAACTGAAAAGTTTCTGCACAACAAAAGAGACATTACCAAAACAGAGAGACACCCCACTGATTGGGAAAAAAATCTTTGCACTTCATTCACTTGATAAGGGACTGATCACAAAGACAAAGAACTCACATGACTCAACAAAAACAAAATAAACAATCCAGTCAAGAAATGGGCAGAAGTGGGCCTCCCCAGTGTAGCAGTAGAGCGCTGGGTTGCGAAGCTGCCCTTGGCCTCTGCGGCGCCGGTTCAATCCCCGGCTGCTCCCCGGCCACCAGAGGAGGGTCCCACATGGCGCACAGACTTCTCCTGCCGCCCGCTGCTCCCCTCAGCAGTGTACTTCGGTCCTTCTGCCTGCTCTGCTCCCTGCTCTGGCTCTGGTGAATTCTCTCACCCTCCCGCGCTTCTGACTGTACCCAGTGCATATATAAACAAAACAAACAAACAAACAAATAAATAAAACATGCCTCTATTAAAAAAAAAAAAAAAAAAGAAATGGGCAGAAGAACTTAAAAGACATTTCTCCGAAGAGGAAATGCAAAGGCCAACAGGCATATGAAAAATTGTTAAACATCCCTTATAATCAGAGAAATGCAAACCACATTGAGATACCACCTTACACCAGTAAGAACGGCATATATCAAAAAAAACAAGCAACAAAAAATGTTGGTGCGGATGTGGTGAAAAAGGAACTCTTCTACATTGCTGGTGGGAGTACAAACTGGTCCAACCATTATGGAAGGCTTTCTGGAGGTTCCTCAGTCTACTAAAAATGGAGTTGCCATATTCCACTTCTAGGTATCTACCCAAAGGACACAAAAACATTGATTCAAAGTGCCACCTGTACCCCTATGTTTATTGCACACTATTTACAATAGGTAAAACCTGGAAACAACCCAAATGCCCAAAAATAGATGACTGGATCAAGAAAATGTGGTATATATACACAATGGAATATTATTCAGCAATCAAAAAAGATAAACTCATGTCATTCATAGCAATGTGGATGGAGCTAGAAGAAATTATGCTCAGTGAAATAAGCCAGAAGGAAAAACAAAAATATTGGATGGTTTCACTTAGAGCAGTAATATAGGGGAACCAAATAAGACATCAGAATAAAAAATAGTAACAGTTCGAAACACAACAAAGCAAAAACAGACAATTATAAATCAGAGATATACTGCAGGGGAGGAGGTGGGAGAGGGATCAGAGGGAGGGAGGGAGGAAGGAGCACAGGGGACTGAGGTGATGGTGCACAGGTGCACTGGTGAAGGAAACTCTATGGGGACTACACCTGAGGGGGTGGGAGAAGCAAATATTGTTTAAAAATGAACAATGATGTAAAAAAATTTTTTAATTATTTTTAAAAAATTTATAAAAATCAACCAGTTGATTTATTAGTTTAGCTAAACTAAAATCTTGGTATTCTCCAAATGATATTAATACAAATTAATATTAGTTTATATAGCATACTAAAGACATCAAATTAATAAAAATTTGATTTTAATTAGTTGAAAAACATGATTAATATTAGTATCAGCATGATACAGTTGCTTTGAAATACATTTCCAATAGCACCTGTAAAACATTTGGACTGGCTCAGTAAATGCTAGTTATTATTATTGGGCTAACAAGTTTATTTGCAAAATACATGCAAATAAAGCAATGTTGTTACAATATAAATGATAAAGTGCTTAGAAAACCTATGTATGAGAAAAATATATTCAATCAAATTCTATATATAAATACCTTATCATAATGGTAAGTATTTTGCTTTCAAAAGTTTTTTGTGAAGAGTCAAGGATGGAATCAAGCACTCATTGTTTGGTTTAAGTGTATGTATTTTAGAGAAAATAAAGTGCCCTAGGTCATGGCAATTAATGTCTTAAAAAATTATCATTTAAATCTAGAAATTGAAAAGTAAAGGACCTGACTTCCAATTATGATGGTAATAAATCAGCCTAATAACATAACTTCTGTGTGTTCCTGTCCTTCATTTGTAAAATGCTGATCATGTACAAAAAGGAAAAAAAAGAGTTTCATATGAACATCAGTATCAGTAACACAGGAAGTTAATATTTAAAACCAGAAGAAAAAAACAAATGACATGTTAAAATACACAGGATTCACTTCACAAAATGTAAAGAAGCATAAGTACACTGAAAGAATATATAAGCAATATTTGCCAAAATTTAATAGTAGTTATAGCTATTAAAATTATTCATATAATTTTAAATTATATTTTAATTATTTTCTACATTTTCTACCCTAAAAATATATTTTTTAGTCAGGAAGCATATTATCTAATAATGGTTATCTCTGGATTATTTCCTTTTCTTATATTTTCCAAAATATTTTGAATGACCACTCTAAGCTTTGCTGTGATTAAAAAAAAAAGTGACTCTAAACAACAAAAAAAACAAAACAAAAAAGGTCCATTTCTCGGGCCTCCCCGGTGGTGCAGTGGTTGAGCGCTGGGTTGCGAAGTTGCCCGCAGCCTCTGCAGCGCCGGTTCGATCCCCGGCCGCCGGGTGAGGGTCCCACATGGCACCCAGACCTCTCCTGCCTCGCCCGCTGCTCCCCTCAGCAGTGTACTTCATCAGTCTGCCTGTTCTGTTCCCCGCTCTGGCTCTGGTGAATTCTCTCACCCTTCCGTGCTTCTGACTGTACCCAGTGCTTGTATAAATAAATAAATAAAGTTTAAAAAAAAATCAATTAAAAAAAAAAAAGGTCCATTTCTTATTCATGTTACTTGTGGCCTGTGAGTCATCAATGACTCTCTACCCAATTCCAGGCTTCACATTAGCTGTGGCTCTTCCTCTTATTTCTTCTTCAGAGTTCAGATTGCGGTCAATTCCTACTTGGGGCATGCTACTCTCATGTCAGAGGAAAAGAGCAGAACAGGGAGAAGCATAAAATACCTCTAATAGTTTCTAATCAGAAACTGTGCTTCCATGGTATATGTTACTTCCACTCATACGTGGCCCAAGCACGTCACAGGGTTGAGTCTGACAGTGGGATGCAATTACATTCTGTTTCAAAGAAACACTCTAAATCATATGGCAATGGGAAAGAATGTATAGTCCACTTTTAGGGAAGGCAGTAAACATTTGGCAACAATAAAACAGTCCATTGGGGTCTGCTGTAACAGTCACAAATATTCACTTTCCTTTCCAAAGCAAAACATATACCTTCTTCAGAAAGATACCCTAAGAGCCTGCTTCCTATGAAGTTAGGGACTCGGACATCATTTTAAGATCTGAATGGTTGAGCCATTTTTAATCTAGGCTGCCAGTTCTTTTGACAGTACATTTCTCTAGAGAGCTTAGTTAGCAATTTTCCTAGGTATTTATCTAAGAGAAATAAAAACAGATGGCTACAAAAACATAGCAGCCTTATCCATAATAGCTGAGCAAATGTCTAATAAAAAGGGATAAACAATCAAGGCAATATAAAATAACCTCAAAATGATTAATTTTAAAGGATATCATATTGAGTGAAGTGAAAGAAAGCAGTCTCAAAGGCATGTAAGTTCTATGATTCCATTCATATGAAATTTTAGAACCTATAAAACTAATCAATAATCATAAATATCAGAAGAGTGGTTGTCAACGGGGGATTCAGGAGTTCTGAAGCAACTTTCTGTGATAATGGAAAGTTCTACATTTTTTTTTTCAGCTATATTCAAGTGTCAAAACTCATTTCATTCAATACAATCGACTCTATGCTACTGTGTTAATTATACCTTAATTAAAAATTAAATCCTTTGTTTTTTGCAAAGAAGCTTTTGATGATGTTTTATTACTTTTTTCCCAGTGAGCTCTATGTTCCAATCATTACAACCTAATTTTTTTTCTAGATATGCTCCTCTCAAAGATTTAAATACAGTATATTAAGCTTATCAAGCTTTCATGAGACCACACCCTTTGTTATGTTACCATGAGGGATTTATGCAACTGAAAGGCTTTACTAGGCCTATCCTTAATCCAGTCATACATTTTAACAAACTGTATGGCAGCTGTGCCCTGGACTTAGTCAGGATTCATTTTAGTCTGTTACTTTGTTACTAAAAGTATTATTTTTTATTGGTTTAAAAAGACCAACAGTACTAACTTCAACATTATAAGTTCCAGAGATTTTGGATTCTCTATTTTCTTCTTCATTTCCACTTGCAAATAAGAGAACTGTGTCCTAAATTCATCTCTTTCCTGTAACAAATGTAGCTGATAACCAAGGCACTCAATATAACACTGTTTTGCAATCTTGTTCCCTAAAATAATAAAAAATTAGTATTAAAATTACAGCTATTCACAGGAAAGTTTACTATAAAATGTTTTGTCATACATAATATGGATGATTTCTCCAACTTTCAAAAATGTTTTATTGCTGCTAGACCTTCAATTACATCTTTAGATGACCCACTGTCTTCATCTTATTTAAGCAAATATACATTAAGTGGGGCAATTCTCTATAGGCAGGAAGCAATTAAGGCCCTAAGAATGGCATATTCTACAAAGCCATCTTCAAATTTGGTTCACAAAGACATTGGAAAAGCACCTCCAAGGGTGGAGCCATGGACAACAGAGAACAGTGAACAATGGGGAAGCAACTCCTAAGGAACACAATCAGGGCCTCACCAAGAAACATTCTCTGCCCCAGAATAAGGAGCCCTGATTTCAGAATTGCTGTGGAGCAGCAGCTAGTGTGTCTCTTCCTCTTTTTGAATGGAAGAATTTATTTTGGTTATATTGTACTTATGCAACAACATATAATGGGAGAGGGGGTATATACTGAAAAGAGTTAAGTAGCAGACTGCAACTGCCTTCGCTAAAAAAGGCATGTTTGCAAGGTAGGCTCTTGGTTATCATCTGAGAACTCGGATTTCAGTAGGGTTGCCACTATTCAAAGAGTGGTTATTGGGCCAAACCTGTTTGTACAATGTGATTCATGCTGACTGCTCTCCTTTTGGGAGTCTAGAATCTTGCTGTGTGGTAAGCAGAGGTATGCCGTCAGGCACCAAAACTGAGCAGAATCATTGTGCTTCCCTGGTAGACACAACTTTGCAAATACTAATACAAGTGGATGCTGAAGGAATTAAGCACATTTTATGTGACTTCATGGGACAGAAATCTTAAAGCATGTGCCTGGTTTCTTGTGAGCCACAGTCCATAGGCCTTTTTCCTTTGCTGATGTTTTGTATTTTCACTGTGATAAATCACAGCTGGGCAACAACTATATTCTGAGACCTGTCAGTCTTTTATCTAATCACCAAACACAGGGGATGGTTTTGGGGACTCCTGACACAAGCAGGTAACATCTCCAGTCAACAAATCTCTGGATGAACATGAAATATAGTTGGCCCTGAAAAGACCTCGGGCTTCAAGACTAAAGAAAACTGAGTATCTTCATCATCTTGAAATGAAGGAAGATAACAAGTATATTTTTTCCGAGGGAAAGAATTAAGTATTTAAGACCAAAAAAGACAATTTTACAGGAAATTGTCCTTTCCTATAAGAAAAATACTCATACCAGGGCCACCCTGGTGATGCAAGGGGTTAAGTCTCAAAACTATGAAGCAATCTGTAGCCACTGCAGCATGAGTTCGATCCCCAGCCAGGGAGCTACCCCACATGGAGCAGCAGACCTCTCCTGTCTCACCCACTGCTCCCCTCAGCAGTGCATTTCAGTCAATCTGCCTGTTCTGTTCCCCCCTCTATCTCTAGTGAATCCTCTCACCCCTATACACTGGCCTGTACCCCAGTTCTTGTATGCATAAATAAATCTTTTAAAAAAAATTTCTCGTACCTACCACTATGTGACTTGCAATGTTTCCCTATTGTCTTATGTATACTTTTCTACCCATTGTCCAGATTGATTATGCAACTTGGTTGGGCCAACAGAACATGTGCACAAGTGACTGTGGGTCAGTTCAGTAGAAACTTCGAGATTGCATGACTGTCTGCTCTTTTCCTCTGTCACAAGAAAAACACATCTAAAACAGGGGCTGTTTCTTCATGATTCATGAAACGTCAGTCAACCTGCAGTTCTATCAGGTAATATTATTCAGAAATGTTTGCTTCAAGTCAGTGAGATTTAGAAGTTGTCCTAAATCAAAACCTAGTGAAATATTGTCTGTATCACCACATACTTAAAATATATTTATACATCTAAAATATTAATACAGGGCCTCCCTGGTGGCACAAGGGGTTAAGCACCACACTATGAAGCAATCCGCAGCCTCTGCAGCATGAGTTTGATCCCCAACCAGCCAGGAAGAAACCCACATGGCGCAGTAGACCTCCCCTGACTCGTCCACTGCTCCCCTCTGCAGTGTATTTCAGTCAGTCTGGCTGTGTTCTGTTCCCCACTCTGTCTCTGGTGAATCCTCTCACTCCCCTGCATCTCTGGCCTGTACCCCAGTTCTTTATGCATAAATAATCTTTAAAATAAAATATTAATACAAAACATACTACCTGGCATAACTATTTTGTAATAGCACAAAAACTCCAAATGTATCTAACTTACATCTTGGAGCTCTTTCAGGAATTGAAGTAACATTGAGTTTCTCTTCTTTGGCGGATTCCTTATTTTCTGAAGGCTTTGGCTTTTTTCTTTGGCGCAGTTCTACAGTTGGTCCTTAAAATATTTGAAAAATTATTGCAACATATGTATCCACATGTGTTCTCATCTGTAATCCAAACTAATTAATTTCTATTACAAAGTCACACAGAGACCTACTAGTACTAAAGATAATTTTTTCAGCACTCCCAGAAAAACTGTCTTTCATACAAACAAAATGACAATAGGTCTTACCTCTCACCCATGCTCTCAGAGTCCTTTGAAAAACAAACTCTTTTCCTAAGATGATGCTATTTTCAAAATATCCCCAAATAAGTAAACTTTTCCAGAATGATTAACAGAGTAGGTGTTAGTCACTAAATTAGCTTTTTATTCTAGTTACCTGTGTATCACAATCATCACTGACAGATTAACTTTTTCAAAAATCAAAATAAAATACATTGATCATAAACAACTTTTTCGCATAATTCTGAAAGTTCTGTAGTTTTACAGTGCCATGGTATCATTATCATAGTCTTACAGATTTATGTATTAGAAAATGAATGAACTTATAAATATCCTTGAGGGATATTTAAAGCAGAAAGTACCTTCAAACTAGTAAAGCCAAACTCCTGATTATGCAAGAATTTACTCTATTCAATTTACTTTCCCTCCTCAGGGTATCTTCTGGGGTAGACTATGACTATTATGTAAGCATAATGTGTCCTGTCAAACTTACAAGGTGGTATAAAAATTTACCTCCTCAACCTCATTCCTGCCCAGAAGTGAACCTCCAGCCTGCACCTGCCACCACCAGAAGTCAGTTTCCTAACTTACTGCCCAGGCTGTACCTGCCATACCACGTAGCAGCTGAGCCTTAGGCTCCCCATACAGACTTCTGTTGCCCTTAATAGGTTATATTTGGGCTAGCTAAAATGTCGCTGATGCTGAAATGAAGTAGGATTTTCGCTTGCTTTCTCCCACCTCCCTTCCAACCTCCCCATAATTTAATTCCTCCTTTTGAAAGCAGTTTTTTTTCTTAGTAATGACTTCCAGCTATGAAATGTGAGCTTAAAAAGAGTCCAAAAAGGAGAAATGAATCACTTGCAGTATACTGCTGATGAGATAGATGGTTCCTTGCTGTATTGTGCAAAATGAACACACTTTTAAATAACTTCAAAGCAAATATATGTTTGCTAAATGTTTTTAAACACTAACATAAGGAGGGGAAAATGCTGTATGCTTAGTGGATAGTGTCTGACTAGTCAAATGTCTAACCATTTTCTAGCCTATCAATTATTTTGTAGTCAGATTAAATAAAACCAGTGAATTCATTAGAACATGATATTATTAGAAACACCATACCTCAGATTTTACATGTAAATCTGGGTCAATTAATAAATAATACTATATTCCTCTTCATGATTCCCTTTTTAATTTCCCCTGCTCTGGGTTAAAGCAAAAGTTAAAAGTGGTTAACAAGAATTAAGATTTATACAAAGCCAAAGAAAGTTCAAGTGCAAGTAATTATTTTTAATTTTATTTAAAAGAAACACAAGGGGAAAAATATAACAAGAAATTTACTCAGTTGTACTTCCATGATTAAACACATTAATAGTATTGGATTTAAAAATGTTAACTGGGTAGGGCCTCCCCTGATGGCGCAGCAGTTGAGCGCTGGGCTGCAAAGCGGCCCGCAGCCTTTGCAGCGCCGGTTCAATCCCCGCGGATCCCAGGCCACAGACCTCTCCTGCCGCGCCCGCTGCTCCCCTCAGCAGTGTATTTCGTCAGTCTGTCTGTTCTGTTCCCCACTGTGGCTCTGGTGAATTCTCTCACCATCCCGCGCTTCTGACTGTACCCAGTGCTTGTATAAATAAATAAATAAATATTTTAAAAACTTAAAAATGAAAATAAAAATGTTAACTGGGTAATTTCAAAAATCAAATCAGTAGTTAACAAATGTATGTAACATGTATTGGGTAGCCCTATTATCAGACAAAGTCTAAAAGCACACATGTAAGGGAAAGATAACTTGGGAATGGGATATTCATATAAAAAATATTCTTTATAAAAAGCTATCCTATTGGGCCTCCCCAGTGGCGCAGCAGTTGAGCGCTGTGTTGAGAAGCTGCCCGCAGCCTCTGCAGTGCCGGTTCAATCCCCGGCCGCCGGGCGAGGGTCCCATATGGTGCACAGACCTCTCCTGCTGCCCGCTGCTCCCCTCAGCAGTGTACTTCGTGCTTGTATAAATAAATAAATAAATCTTTGGGGAAAAAAAAAAAAAGCTATCCTATTAGTTCTTAAAATATTTCTTTATAGGGCCTCCCGGTGGTGCAGCGGTTGAGCGCTGGGTTGCGAAGCTGCCGGCGACCTCTGCGCTGCAGCGGTTCGATCCCCAGCTGCTCCCCGGCCACCGGAGGAGGGTCCCACATGGCGTGCAGACCTCTCCTGCCGCCCGCTGCTCCCCTCAGCAGTGTACTTCGGTCCTTCTGCCTGTTCTGCTCCTGCTCTGGCTCTGGTGAATTCTCTCGCCTCCCGCGCTTCTGACTGTACCCAGTGCATATATAAACAAAACAAACAAACAAACAAATAAATAAATAAAACATGCTCTATAAATTAAAAAAAAAAAAAAAAATATTTCTTTATAAAAGGAATCACTTTACAGAGATTTCAATCAAAGCATTCTCTGCACAGATGTGGATTTTGTTTATAAAAGTATAATTTAGGGGGTCTCCCTAGTGGCGCAGGGGTTAAGTCTCAGCGCTAACAAGCTATTCACAGACACTGCAACATGAATTTATTCCCTGGGCCCAGGGCTGACCCAAAAGTGGAACAGCAGACCTCTCCTGTCTAACCTCCTATTTCCCTCAGCAGTATATTTCAGTAGATTCGCCTGTTCTATGCCCTACTCTGTCTCCGGTGAATCCTCTCACACACATACACGCCCCTCCCCATAACTCTGGCCTACACCCCAGTTCTTGCATGCATAAATAAAAATAAATTTTTTTCACAAAAAGTATGTTATACAAAAGTTTTGTACAAATCCCCATAGAGGGCCTCCCTCTATGGTGCAAGTAAAGTGGCACAAAGGGTTAAGCACAGCACTGTAAAGCGATCTGCAGCCACTGAAGCATGAGTTCGATCCCCGGCCAGGGAGCTACCCACATGGCGCAGAAGACCTCTCCTGACTTGCCCACTGCTCCCCTCAGTAGTGTATATCAACCTGTTCTGTTCCCCACTATCTCTGGTGAATCCTCTCACCGCCTGCACCTCTAGTCTGTACCCCAGTTCTTGTATGCATAAATAAATCTTAATGTTATGCAAACATTTTTTTAAAAAAAAATCCCCAAAGAATTTATGAAGAATATAAATCTTAACAGTCATCTCTCAAGAATCTATATCAGCAATGATCAAGAACCATACAATTAGGGCCTCCTTGGTGGCGCAAGGGGTTAAACACCACACTATGAAGTAATCTGCAACCTCTGCAGCACGAGTTTGATCCCCAGCCAGCCAGAGAGCAACCCACATGGCGAAGCAGACCTCTCCTGTCTCGCCTGCTGCTCCCCTCAGCAGTGTATTTCAGTCAGTCTGCCTGTTCTGTTCCCCACTCTGTCTCTGATGAATCCCCTCATCCCCCGCATCTCTGGACTATACCCCAGATCTTAAATAAATAAATAAATCTAAAAAAAAAAGAACCATACAAATAATCTCTAAAGGACCTATAATACTTTATTTTCTTGACTCTAAAAGATGCCATACATTTTAAGATACTAAATATGAGTATTTCAAGGGAAAAGATACTGCCATATTAAATGCATACACTGGTTTTAAAACATGTCTATTTCAGTGGCATTAAACTGTGGAGCAAAAAGTACAACTTGGAAAACCCAGTATTCATTTTAGCCTATCTTTTCAACCTTGTCCATAAAACTAAATTGCTGCCTGTCACCAAGAAACAAAACTGACTGGATGATATTTCACCTCATCTCCTTTATTTTTCTCTTATAACTTCATAACTGTTTCTTTTATGTTGGGCTTGTAACTTCATAACTGGATGACAATGCCAGGAATTCCTAGGTGGAAATTCAGCAAAAGCCATCACAATGAACTAAGTAGACTATTAATTCTGATAGAAAAGTTCTGAGATTGAATTAAAGTTTCCTTTCCCCTGTTTTATATTTCAGCATTGTAAAGAAAAAGTCAAGTGAAAATGATAATGTTACAAAAATAACCTGTTATTTCAGTCTACAATCCAGTGATCTTCACTTAGTAGTAGGGCTACAAATAGGCTTGCAAATGTACACAAAGACTATACATAGGAATTTCCCAGTGAAGTGTTAACATTGCTCTAGTCAGGGCTGTCACTTCTCTCTTTGCTCTAACATTTATTTGAGGAAGCATAGATATAAACACCGAGACCCTCTAATGCACCAAAGAAGACATTTTTTGTAAGATGAGATTCCCAAAAAGAAACAATAGCACAATGAGGAGGAGCATCCTTGTGAAGGTAAATAAGCTAAAAGGGATAAAGAGAACATCTAGGTGCAAGTAGACCACTTAGTCTCAATTTAGAACAGCAAATACAAGATAATTCCTGCTTTGAAAAAACAAGAAAAGAGCATGAAATAAATATAAAGCATTCAGAATGCCTAGCATATAAACATAAATTACTGGCATTATTATAATAAATAAGAATTTAACCGCCTTTCATTGTTAAGTATTATATGCCCTCACCTGATACAGCAGGTACCCAAATATTTATGGAATTTATTTATTTATTTTTAAAGATTTATTTATTTATTTATACATACAAACACTGGGTACAGTCAGAAGCACGGGAGGGTGAGAGAATTCACCAGAGCCAGCACGGAGAGCAGAGCAGGCAGAAGGACCGAAGTACACTGCTGAGGGGAGCAGCGGGCGGCAGGAGAGGTCTGCGCGCCATGTAGGACCCTCCTCCGGTGGCCGGGGAGCAGCAGGGGATCGAACTGGCACTGCAGAGGCCGCAGGCAGCCTCGCAACCCAGCACTCAACCGCTGTGCCACCAGGGAGGCCCCTATTTATGGAATTTAAAACTTTGTTGAGTGAAACTACAGTTGAACAAAACTACAACCCATTAGTTGTTCCATATAAGATGCATTTAATTGCCTTTGATTACCTCTAAATCTACAACTGAAAATCATTTTTCATTTTATATGACATAAGTAAATTTTATACAATGGCACGGTCTTTTTAATTGGTGCCACATCATATTTAACTAGGTATAACTCTATTCAAAAAACATTTCTCAGGGTCTCCCTGGTGGCACAAGGGGTTAAGCATCAGCACTATAAAGCTGTCTGCAGCTACTGCAGCATGAGTTCCATCCCTGGCCAGGCAAGTGACCCACGTGGCACAGCAGACCTCTCCTGACTTGCCTGCTGCTCCCCTTAGCAGTGTATTTCAGTCAGTTCACCTGTTTTGTTCCCCACTCTGTCTCTGGTGAATCTTCTTACCTCCCACACCTCTGGCCTGCACCCCAGTTCTTGTATGCATAAATAAATAAATCTTTAAAAGAAAACATTTCTCAGTTTGCATGATGTATAATTTTAAAGACTTTTTAGTACTGCAGATTATTTTCCAAGCTTTAATTTAAGCCTTTAGTACTCATGGAAACATACATCCTAGCTTATCAACCTACCACCATACATTTGCAATGAGTCAGAAAAGAGTAAAATACCAAGAAATGTTTTAAATAGTAATTGCAACCAAAGATAAAACCAAGGCAACAAATGGAATTATTCTTTCTTACCAACTACAAATAGCTTGGTTTGGAGGCTGTATTTTAGATAGAGGGTCTTAAATTTAGATCAGTTTTAACACTGAAAACTCAAGGAAAAGAAGGCAAATATAAAGCAAATGTGAGCACAGAGACAGCAAGTCACAGAGAAACAAAGACTTCTTACAATTTTTTAAAAATCATTTTCCACTGAATTCTTAAAACTCCCTTTACACTCTTGTTCATAGAAGGCTTAAATCTAAGTATATCACATTCATAATTCGACTCTAAGAGGTAAAAAGTCACGTTTTTCTACCAGAAAGCAAAAGTTTAACTGCTCAGTCAAGACACCCTCATATACACTTATCCCTAAAACTCAGACCGGTATCATTCTCATCACGCCCTGAGTGTTTCCTATCAAATCAATCACCAGCTATTAAGTTCCTCCCAACTCCTCATTTTTCTCTCATACCCATCATTCTCTACGAATAAATAATGCTTAGTGAGTTGATTTTCTTGACCTTGGCCCAGAGGGGGAATAGAAAGCTTTCTCCAGTTCACCTATTTGTGCCCTTAAAGCACCCCTGCCTCCTCATTCCCACACTCTTAACACTGAAATCCCTTTGTCCTTGGCCATCACCCCCTAACCTACAGGAGAATCTGGCCTTCTTCAGTTTCTGCTTGTTCATCCTCTCCGAACACACTTTATCCTGTTCATCCCAAATCCTGCCTCTTTTCATACCCTAAGGCGTGCGTTGCTTCTTACCCAGTGACTTTTTGTCAGTATCCACAGATCTCCAAAGAGCACACCAGGAATGAGAGGTATTTGGTTAAACAACTATCACTCTGAGATACACACTCAGTACCCAAACCTCCACATCTTCTAAACCAAAATCCCCACCCCATTAACATCTGTCCACAGATCCCAAATCAATCACTCACCCCAGAGCCTTTTCTATTTTTTACCCGACCCCCAACTTTAAGCTTCACCTTCGCTTCCCTCTAGGAGGGACAAAACTCCAAGCCACTCCCTCCCTCCTTCCCCCGCCGCCCCGCTCTTTCCAGCCCGCCCCGCGCGGTCGGGGCAGCAGCCGCCGCCGCCAGGC